TAAAGTATAGTTTAAGTCCAATGTTTTCTTACTGCTTTTCTGTCTGAACAATCTGTCCATTATGGAGATGGGATATTCAAGTCCATTACTATTATTTTATTAGTGCCTCTTCTCTTGTCTTCTGATCTATTCCTATTTGCTTTATATGTAGGTGTTGTAATATTGGGTGCATAAATATATATTTACAATTATTATATCTTCTTGATGGATTATCCTTTATTATTGTATAATGATCTTGTCTTATTTTATCGTTTTGTATTTAAAGCCCATTTTATCTGATGTAAGTATTGATAACTACCCTACTTTCTTTTGGTTCCATTTTTATGGAACATCTTTTCCTATTCTTTCACTTTTAACGTATGTGTATCCGTAAAGGTGAAGTGAGCTTTTTGTAGACAGCATATAATTATATCTTTTCTCTCCATTTAGCCAATTATTGGAGAATTTAATCCATGTACATTCAAGGTAATTATTTTTATTTACTTAATAAACTCATACATTTTTTTTTTTTTTGGAGAGGTCTTCACTATAGGGCACGTGCGCTCGCCAGACAGAGAGAGACATAGAGACAGAAAGCGAGAAATCCCCCCCCAGAGGGGATGGTCACGCCACAATCCCTTCTCCTCCATTCTCCTCTCGGGATCTTGGGCACGCACGCACACGCACCCGGTGTGAGTTTTAAGCCACTGGGTCCGGGACGTGAACCGCAGTTGACTACGTGGGAATCCAGCGACATAGCCATTATGCTAACTGCTGGCTCCCAATAAACTCATACTTTAATTCCATCTTTCCACGAACTCTCTTTTTAATTGCCAGAGGGTATGTGCACTCCCCAGAAAGCAAGCCCTCTTCAATGGGACAGGGTTGGGCCACAGTCCTTTTTGGGCATTTCTCCACTGATTGGAATTTTGAGAATACACTCACACCTATCTGGAATATTTTTCAGCCACTGGGGCCAGAATTTGAACCACAGACAGCCATGTTGGATTCAGTCCTTATGCAAAGGGCTTAATCCTTGCATTGTTAGTCAGCCCTCAAGGTAATTATTAATACTTAAGGACATATTTCTACCATTTTGTTCCTTATTTTCTATTGTCATGTAGATTCTCGGCTCCTTCCTGTCCTGTTGTTTTCCTTTGTGATTAGATGATTCCCTCCAGCAATATGCTTTGATTCTTTATTTAATTTGCTTTATAGTGTATGTATTGCCAGAGAGAGAGAGAGACAGAAAGAAAGACAGGGAAAGTGAGAAAACACTCTCTGAGGGGATGACCATACCACATCCCTTCTCCTCCATTCTCCTCTCAGGATTTTGGGCAATGCATGCACACATGTCCGGTGCATGGGTCCAGGACTCTGACAGCACAGTCAGCCGTGTGGATCCAGCCACCATTACCACTATGTCACCTGCTGGCCTGATCCCTTATTTTTATCTTTTGCATGTCCACTATAGATTTTTGTTTTGTGGTTACGGTATAGTTTACATAAGATATCTTATGGTTATCACAGGATACTTTAAGCTGGTGATAACAACTTAACTTTGTATAAAATATCTCAATATTTCTACTCTAGCATCCTCCAACATTTTATATTTTTGATGTCATGATTTATCTTTTTATTTTGTATAATGCTTAACAAATTATTATAGCTATTATTAATTTTAGTTGTTTTATCTTTTAGGGTTTTTTGTGAGGGTCCCATCCCATGTCCTCCTCCACAGTCTTCTAGTCAGTCAAGATCATGGACACACCCACAGGCTCACCCCATGTGCTCAGGTTGATCCAGGAACTGAACCTAGGGCCTTCCTATATGACTCTAACACTGTACAGCAGTGCTGCACAGCCTGTGCCACTATAGCCGGGCCAATAGTTTTGTCTTTTAACCTTCATACTAAAGATAGTGATTTACATACCACCATTACAACAATATTCCAAATTTGATTCTGTAATTTACTTATAATAGTAAATTTCATATTTTTATGTTTTCCTGTTACTAACCTGCATCATTTTCTTTTGTTTGAAGGACTTCCTTTAGCATTTCTTATTAGACAGGTCTGGTAGTGATAAACTCCCTCATCTTGGAAAGTCATCATCTTTTCTTCATTTCTGAAGGACAGCTCTGTCAGCTACCATAATTTCAGTTGACAATTTTTTTTCCCTTCAGCATTTTGAATATTTCAGCCTACTGTCTTTCAGCCTGTAAAGCTTCTGCTAAGAAATATGTTGTTAGCCTTATTGAAAATCCCTTATCTGTGATTTTTTTTTTTCTTGCTGCTTTCAGGATCCTCTTTGATTTTTCAAAGTGTGATTATATTATGTCTTGGTGAAGTCTTCTTTGCAATGAATATGATTTGAGACCTTTGACTTTCTTGACTGTCTTGGATATTTATATCTTAATCCAGATCTGGAAAGATTTTATGCTATTATTTCTTTAACTAAACTTTCTACCCTTCTATTTTCCTTATTTCCTAACATTTGTTCTTTTGATGCTGTCTCACAAATCCTATTAGCTTTCTTTATTAATTTTTGTTCATTTTTCTTCTGTGATTGTATATTTTCAATTGGCCTGACTATAAAAACAGATTTTCTCCTGCTTATTTGATCCTGCTCTTGATGCTGTCTATTGCACTTTTTATTTATTCGTTGTATTTTTCAGCTCCAAAATTTGTTGAGGTTTTTTTTTCATTTTTTATTTTATTTTATCTTATTTATTTATTTATTTCTTGGGAGAGATTTTTGCTATAGGGCGCGTGAGCTCGCCAGACAGACAGAGAGAGACATAGAGAGAGAAAGCGAGAAATCACCCCCCAGGGGGGATGGTCACGCCGCAATCCCTTCTCCTCCATTTTCCTCTCGGGATCTTGGGCACGCACGCACACGCGCCCGGTGTGAGTTTTAAGCCACCGGGTCCGGAACACAAACCGCGGTCGACTATGTGGGAGTCCAGCGACATAGCCATTACGCTAACTGCTGGTTCCCTGTTGAAGTTTTTAAATATAACTTAATTCGTTAAATTTTTCATTTTAGTCCATTGTTTTCCTGATTTTTAAAAAATGGTCTCTCTTTATTTTTGTTAAGTTTGCTGAACTTAAAACAATGGTTTTGAATTCTATGTTAGGCAGTTTGTATATTTCTTTGGCGTCAGCAACCAAGAGGTTATTTATTATTATTATTTTTTGAGGGTATTATAGCTTCTTGATTTTTCATGGTTTTTGTTGCTTCTGTTGATAGCTGAATATTTGGTTGGAGAAGTCACTGCAGACTTTATGCTAGATTTGCTGTGGAAAGACCTCCTCCAATGGGAGGTTGCAAGGGCACTTGTTGGGTGTGATTCAGCAGTTCTGGTTCTAGTGAAGGTTCTAACTGTTTATGCAGTTTTGAGGACTAAGATCAGTGTTGATCAAGATTACAAGGATTCTCAGTGGCCAACACTGTGAATGTTCTCAATGGCAGCAAGGGATTTGGGGGTCTTTGTGGCAATGCTGCTAAGGTCATTCTAATCTACTGGGTTGTCAGAAAAGTCATGATGTTTTTGCTTTTCTAAGCAAAAATGCATCATGACTTTTCCAACAACCCAATAATTTTCTCCCACTGGGTAAGTCATGGCTGAGAGTATTCCTCTTGGCACTTGGTCTGTTTGTGGGCTGTCCTGCAGTGGCAGTAATGAATGGTACCTGTAGAGCACCCTCTGAGGTGAGGCCCAACACACAGGCATGAGTAAGGACCACAGCTCTGGGATCTGGGGCATAATGGCATAGTACCCGGTGACCAGGGCACAACCATCCTATCACTTCTGCCACATTGATAACAGTATGCAAGGCACAGATGCTTGTAAAGCCTCCAAGGGACCTAAGAATGGGAGTATAGGCATGTAGAGTTAGAGTGGGTCTAGAGCCTAGTTCTCTACAGCAGCTGAGCTGGTATTTGAGGCACAAAACTTTCTGTCGCCATGTTGATAACAGTTTTTCAAGGTAACAATTTTTGAAGTATGGATGCTTATGACATAGGTTGGGAGCTAAGAATGGGAGCACAGTTATGTGGAGAACTGGAGTAGCTCCAGGGTCTTGATGAGGTCTGGTTCTCTATGGCACCTGAGCCAGTGTTTGGCACAAAGGCACATGCAGTGACTTAACTCCAGAACCAGGAGTGACTGACTTGCTATGGCAATAGCTCCCATGTCTGAGATGTGGGCAGGTCCAATGCAAACATGATGTGGTGGCTCTTTTCTCAAAGCGCCTCAACAGTAGCCACTTTTTGTGGTGGTGGAGAGACGGGAGGTTAGAAGCATGCAACAGTGTTTTCCTCTCTGGGGAAGGAATTCTACTAATTCACTGAGAAGATTAGCTATTTTGTTACCTCAGTGGTAAGACAAGCTGGTGACCTCTAACAGGTCACTGGGGACCATAATGGTCCCTGACACATGGTGGATACCAGTATCCTCCAGCACTTTACATCTTTGCTCCTAACCTTTCTCTGGTGTCCCAGGTATATTGATTTCATCAGCAATCTCTTCCATGTGGATATTGTTGGTTTGTTTGTTTTGCTCCACTGTGTTGCTGCGGATTCCTTAAGGGGGGTCCTTGAGTCTTCTCGGGGTTTTTGAATAGCTGTCTTTTTTGTTGGAAGATGAAGACTGGTATCTCGTATTCTGCCATCTTGACAGTGTCACTCTGGATCTATCAATATACTTCAACAACTCTTCAGTTTCCAGTTAGTTGATTAAATGGACGGTATGCCAGTAACCTTCCTTGACTGTGTCTTTCCTTGAATATTCTGTTGAGAGAGAACATCTGGGATAAAATTAATAGCCTGGTCATTGTTTCTGAATTCATAAGGTTGTTAAAGATGGCAGTTATGTGGAACTTTTTAATTAAAAGGGATTGCAATTCTAAACCATGCATTCACATTGGAATACAACCAGAAGTGTATAACCTGATGAAGAAAATATACTAGACGATAAACACTTCTAGGAAACCTTTCCAGTCTCGTCTGCTTTCGTATATTCACCTACTACATACTTAACTCCTGACAAGTTAGGGGCTAATAATTTTTAAGGCATTTTCTTTAAAGTATACTAAAGCCATTTGGCAAAACCTATGAGACATACTCCTGAATGAAATGTGGGTAGGTAACACTTTTATTCACTTACAATACGATCTCAGTGCAATGTATGCCTACAGTATAAATGATAAAATCAAAACTGAATAAAACTAAAACGTTTTACAATGTGTAATACATGTAGGGATAATTTGATATGATAAATGTCACATCTCCCAAGTACACCTTAAGACTTTCTATTTTTATTATTTCTTAAAACACACAAGTCAGTGTTACTAGAGAAACTAAAACTAAATCCCATTAAATTATCTGTTAAACTTGTTTATGCTTTCTAAAGGTCCTTTGGCCTTTATGGAATGAGATTTAAGTCAGTTTTCAGAAGTTAGCCATCTGGCTTCCTTGTGTGCTATGAAAACACATGACAAAGTTGTCATATGGTCAAATGAAATTGAACTTGTTTCTACAGGTGAGGAGAAAATCAAGATAAAAGGCTCTTTTCTGTCATTTGGATTTTTCAGACGCTTAAATATTAACCTATCTTGTTAGAATTCATACATTTCCCTCATTTATCTGTGCGGTGTTAGGTTTATTAACAATAGTTCACTTCTACCCAGAAAAACATTTGATAGCATTCAATATAAAGGTAAGTATCAAAAATATGTAGGACAATAATGCCTTGTGTATTACAGTATTTGTACTCACACCTTCCTATGAAGTCCACATTTTTAGAAAAATATATTATTGCTTATGAAATGACAAACAGGCATTCTGATTCCAACACATTCTTACAACAGTATATACAGTCCTATTAGAGTCAGAGCACTGCAGATCCATACAGTGTGTGGCAAAGGTCCCAGACGTCTGGCAAAGCTCACACTTCCACATCACATCTCTGGGCAGAGCCTTGCTGGATTTCTTAGGTATCAGGGTCTCTCATGCCAATGAAGGGGAAATGCTATAGAGACGAAGATGTTCCGTCTTAGGCTGCTTCTTCAGCAGAGCAGTCGATTCCAGCGTAGGTAAACTTCTCATAAAGCGTGGTATTCACGTAGGTCTAGAAGAGCAAGAGCGTTTTAAGACATGAGCTACTGTGATTCTGCCTCTGTTGGGACAGTTACAGGAATACTCTGGCTTTCTTAGTTTGTTTCAACTCAACTGCTGAGAACTTGGGGGGGGTGCACTTTTCTGTCCTCAATTCCTCTGTTGTATTTGATGACTTTCTTCCTGTAATAACCCACTTGGCTTCTGCACGTACGTTTCATATTCTGCCTGTCCTCCATCACTGAGCTTTTTCTCATGGTCTCTTCCTGGTCCCCCCTGAAAGCTGCATAATCTCTTGGGCATCTTCCTCTGTCCCTGACCCATCTTTACATTTCTGGTTAAATTACCACTTGAATTTCAGTGATATTCAAAATCTATTTCCTTAGACTAGATTTACTTGTCTTTTAGACCCCAGTAGGAGTTCAGCCAGCTACCTTCTAGAAATTTTTATAGACTTCTTAATCTTCCCCATAGGAACCTATAGGCCTGGCTCTAGAGTTTATTTGCTGCATGTCCTCAAGCCAGTCATTGTCACCTCTCTGAGTCTGTTTCATCATGTATACAATTAAAAGGTCAGACTATATGACTAAGAAACTTTCTACTGGAAAATTGCATCGTGACTTTCCAGACTTTTGTTTTTCTGTGCAAAAATGTGCCTTGACTTTCCTGACACTCACTAGTTTTAAGGAGATAATTCTGCATTCTGTTCTCTGTGATGATACCTTGTATAAAAATCTTATTCTCCCTCCAAATTATAGATTTCTTTATTATTATGTCATGTTGAGGGGGAAGCACATTCTTTATTTCTATAATACTTAGGGTTGTGCTTGGAATAACTTGTTGAATTGTATCAGTTATTCCTATTAACCACTCTAGGCACATAGGAATTCTAATTAAAGAGCTTCCACTTTGAACTTGATACTCACCTTTCGTTCTTCTAGCATCCGGTTTAAGGACACCAATATCTGGGCAAATGAAGGCCTCTCGTAAGGCTTCTCCCTCCAGCATTGTCTCATTAGATCATACCTTTGAAAACAAAAAGATATAGGGTTAATTCTTCTGTCCTGGGCAAGGCTGGTAAAGTTTCTATTAGGCCTCCCACCTCCCTGTCCAGGTTCTTTTCTCCTCTAGATTTAGTGGCTTCCCTGGGTATCATTCTTCCAGGGTCTTGGTCTCCGTATTTGATCACCTGGGAAGAACTGGGATATGTGGCATTGTCCCTGGAATACTAGGTCTCTTATGTTAGTACTAAATTTTTAATAATGTGTAAAATGCTACCCAGTGCATCTCCCTCTTAGAAGCAAGACTCTTGAACCAGGTGCTGTAGACAATGCGTCCCTTCAAAATTCGTATTTTGAAAACTACTCCCCAAGATTAGGGTCTTTATGAATGGGATTTTGCTCTTAAGAGAGAGGTCCTAGAGAGCTGCAGAACTTTCCCCTCGTATCATTTACTGATATCTTGGGAGATACTGGTGAACATAGTTCTAGGAACACAGGCCTAAGGCGCTACTTTCTCAAGCATCAGAGCTCCTTGTGTTATTAAAATGCAGATTTCTGAGACCAGTTCTGCCTCCACCAACAGAAACAGAATGTCTGAAAATGGGTTGAGCTCCCCCTGAGGCATTGTTCAGCATGTGGGATCTTATGTACATGGAGGCTATCCAGATTCTAGAAGGTTTGTGCAGGGTGGTCTTCATTTATGCCTCTTGTACCAGAGACATTATTAATAGACAGCACTCTTTCACTCCTAGAAGTAGCCCAGTTTGAACACTAATTATTTACGTAACCTAATGCCTTGCATTCTTCAACTTATGCCAGGTAGGCAGCTCTACCATGGCTAGTTATGAATGGTGATATCACAAATGATTATCCCAAAGAATAATTCTTACTTCCAAAAATTAATTTTAGCAGAACCATGAGTCTATGAAGAAAAATTCATCTTGATATAACAACTCTGAAATCTCTACCCCAAAGTTAGGCTCATGGTTTCACGTACTTATTTATTCACGAATAACTTTATCAATTTATTTCAGGTCTTTCCCGTATGTGTTACCCTTCTTGATTTCTACCTCCCTGAAAGTCATCACCTTAAATTCCTCCTACATTTCTATGTCTGGAAAGCTACTATTCCTTGCCCCTGGCATAACAGTCTTACAATAAGGGACCCTCTTTTCCAGCTGTTTGGGACCTCCAGTGTGTGTGTACATGTACCAGGTGATTTCATTATAGTCAACCTGTCTAAGAAATGCATGGGGGAAGGTTATGATTAAATGGGTGAAGCCTGACTTACACCTCATCATCACAGTTCAGGGGCTTCTCCAGTCTGTATCCCTGGGGCAGCTTCTCGTAGAGCTCTGCACAGGTCATCCCGCAGTAGGGAGTGCCACCTAGAAGACAGAAAACAGTGCCATCTTAGTGCCCTCCGGCATAGAAAGCAGTGCCTCTTGCCCAAGTGATCCAAAACCAAAAGGCCAGGTAGAAGCTGGGGGTGGGGAGTGAGCAGTCATGACAGGGTGAGTACCCAGCATGCCTCCCTTTGCCAATCCACCACACATTGAAGTTCCACTTACATTACAGATCACTCTACAGTGTAACCTCTGCCATGGGCTTCATCACTTATGTACTATTTCTCTCCCCTATGTCTGCCTGCAAACAGCTTGGCTGCTGTACCCATGAGACTTTTCTTTTTTCTAATAAGAAGTCTATTTATGTTACACAATTCATAATTTATTGCTAATTTTGCCTAGTTTTAATTATACTTATTGCAGAAAAGTTGGAATAAGAAAAAACACTTGAATAACCCAATAGCTTTTATTACTTCTGTACAATACCCTCTAGTTTTTTAATATGTAATATTTATAAAACCGGATATTTTATGTGAAATTTGTCAAAATGTACATGACAAAAAACATACATGGGATTAAATGGCCTTCAAAAACGATGACTTTTTAAATTGGAGAAGTAATTATGTGGCAACTCTATGGCATCTTTGTATAAGCAGACAGAACTAACCTATAAGGAAGTTCATGGCTAGCAGGTCATTAGTGTTAACTATGACCTTCGGAATGGTGCTTTCAAATGAGAATTTTCTATGTTCAAGTCACATCTGTTATCACCACATGTAAATTGTGCCCTCTGAAATCATGCCCAGACGCCCACACCCTGTGCCTTGGAGTCTCACCTGGTGGATAAACATACTCACCTAAGCTAACAATCTCCCATAACAACACACCATAGGACCAGCTGCAGAAGGGACAAATGTGAAACCAATAATCAGCAAATAGGTTGACCATTCAACTCCTGCCCCAACAGCCAGATTGATGAGCCCTTTCTCAGAAAAGGAAATGTTAAAGTCTGCTTTCTGGGATTGGACCTGCACCCAGCCTGGGGTTCTCCTCCCAGGCCAACAGAAAGGTTACAACTGCAAAACAGAATTTCCTGTGCCAAAGACCCCCCCCCCAACTCACTTTCAGTAGAGAATGTAAGGTGGCACTGAGCAAAACAGGTGAAGTTCTAAGCAGAACAGAGCTGCCACCTGATACTCAGACAACCTGGGACAAGTTACTGAACCTCTTGGGGCCTCTTGGTGTATTCCGAAAGTGGGAACACCAATTCCTGCCTCAAAGTCATACAGAGATGACACGAGGTAACAAATAAAGGGCACCTGGAGCACAGTGAGGACACAGAAAGTGTCAGTCCTCTTTCCATTTCCAGGCAGAAGCGAAACCTCTCATGTAAAATACCTAGCCCTTTGGGCCCCAGTTTTTCTTCCTGAAAACAGGGCGTGCAAGACAAGATGGCCTAAGCCTCACTCCCAACTCCTCCTTCCCGTCAACCTGAGACTGGTCACTACAGGCTGCAAATTTGCCCCCCCCCCCAGCCACTGTCTCACTTTCCTTTTGTTCCCAGCTGCTATTCTGGGCTGCTTCCTCTGGTCTGGGTCCAGGAAGCAGAGCCATGGAAAGGCCAGTATGGCACTTCTTCCTCTAGGGTCAAGAACTGACTCTCTCTGACAGATTACCAGGGATTTTATACTCTGGAAATGGTCTGCTCTGTGGCTCCAAACATCCTATGAATTTATTTCCTAGGCTTTTTGATTAGCTTTATTCCACAGAGAGATAGGATATTTCTGCTTCACTTTAAAACCTGTGTTAAATGTGTAATTTTTTGTAAAAACAAAACAAAAACAAACTCCTGGCAATAGGAGGTTTACTCACACATCACTGTTGGTCGTATACACACTGTAATTTAGAGACTCAATCGCCATCCAGCGCACAGGGAGCCTTCCCTGGGGAGAACAAAGTGAGACACCACTTAGGCAGGACCAGGACTCCTCACAAGGCTCCCAGCTCGTCTGAAGCCCAGGCTCACTCATGGAAAATACATGTAAGGAAAAAGCTACTCGTGGATTTAAATAGTTTTGTACCAAAATAAATTCATACGTTAATTCATTTTCTCAGACTGTTTGAAGTTCCATGATGTATGTGTGTGTGCATTCACATGTGTGCATTTGGTAGTTACTCATCCTGTGACTGTCAGGGCACTCAGAGGTTTGAAAGGGGAGACAAGCATAGAAACTGAGAAGTTAGCTGTTGTGTGGGAAAGACTAGTGGGGATACCATGGTAGGTGGAGAGACCTGTGCCTGGAGGTGAGGGGGGGAGGGGCCATCTGAACTAAAAGATGTGTAGGTATCACCAAATAGGGACAGAAAGAGCATTTCAGGCTAATGGGAACAGTATGCCTATGTATCAAGAGAGGGTGAAATCACTCATACAGGAGTAGGTTGTCTATTTCTCATATTTTTATGTATTTTTGAGGGATTTTTGTGAAGTTAATTTCAAGTTTAATTCCATCATGGTCAGGGAAGATAATGGATATAGTTACAAAGCATAATACTAGCACAAAAACAGGCATGTAGACCAATGGAACAGAACAGAAACCCCGGAAATAAACTCCAAAACATGCAGCCAGCTGATTGTTTACAAAGGACACCAGATAACCCAGTACAGAAAAGAAAACTCTTTAGCAAATGATATTGGAAAAACAGAATATGCACCTTCAGAAGGATGAAACTGGATTCCTGTCTCTCACCACTAACAAAAATCACCTCAAAATGGATCAAAGATCTAAATCTAAAACCTCCAACTATAAAACTGCTGATGGAAATCACTGGGGACACTCTTGGACACATCAGAGTAGGCAAAGACTTATTAAATTAGACCCCTAAAGCATAGGCAATAATCTCAAAAATAGACAAATGTGATGGGACCAGCAGTTAGCGTAATGGCTATGTCACTGGACTCCCATGTAGTCGACCGCAGTTCGAGTCCCGGACTCGGTGGCTTAAACTCACACTGGGCACATGTGTGTGCGTGCCCAAGATCCCAAGAGGAGAATAGAGGAGAAGGAATTGCAGCTTGGCCATCCCCTCTGAGGGGTGATTTCTCACTTTCTTTCTCTCTGTCTCTTTCTGGCGAGTGCACGCACCCTATACCAAAAAACTCTCAAAAAAAAAATATATATATATAGACAAATGGGATTACATTGGGTTAAAAAACTGCACAGCCAAAAAATAAATAAATAAAAAATCCACAATAATTAGAGTGAATAGACAACTCTTGGAATGGGAGAAAATATTTGCAAACTGTCTCAGACAAGGGACTGATACCCAGAATATACAGGAAGCTCAAGTAGCTTATCCCCAGCCCCAACACACACCTAAATAAAATAAAGTAACCCAATTAAAAGATGGGAAAATGAGCGGAACAGATAACTCTCTAAGGAAGACATATGAATAGCCAAAAATCATACGGAAAAATACTCGACTTCCCTTGTCACAAGGAAGATACAAATCAAACCACAGTGAAATACCACCTAACTCCAGTCAGAATGACTAAGATTAAAAAAATTATGAGAAGTGCTGATGAGGCTATGGTAAAAAGGGAATGTAAATTAGTACAACCACTGTGGAGAACAATATGGAAATTCCTCAAAGAACTGCAAATAGAACCACCATATGATCCAGCAACTCTACTCCTGGCTATCTACTGAAAGGATAGAAATACTCTAAGTTGTAAAAGTACTTGCACATCCATGTTTGTTACAATTCACAATGCTAAGTTGTAAAAGTGCTTGCACATCCATGTTTGTTACAATTCACAATAGCTAAAATGTAGAAGGAACCTGAATGTTCATGAAACAGGTAAGAGGATTTAAAAATTGTGACATCTATACACTACATAATACCAATCAGCCATAAAAAGCAATGAGACCCTGGCATTTGATAAGAAAGTAGATGAATATGAAGAGTTACTGCTAAGCAAAGCAAGCCAGACTATGAAGAGAGTTATCGTAGGCCCCCACTCAATATATATTGAAGGTCAGCACTCTGGCAGAAACGAAAGATTGTATAGTATAAATGCATGGAGAGCAGCTGTGGATACTGGAGACAGTGTGGAAGGAGGGAGGGAAATGGAGGATGGTGAAGGGGGGCTCAAGAGGAAAAAGAAAGAAGCAACACATTTAAGGGACACAAAAATGGAAAATTATCTCTTGATAATGTGAATAGTAATATCTTTGGACTAATATACAGTGTATTCATGACCAGAAAATTCAACTGGTATGCTATAACAGCATACAATGAGTCTATGTAAAAAATTAATAAGAAAAAAAAATCACTCATAGCCAGTGAAATCACACTGAGGTTCAAAATAGGACGAGAGATGCATAATCACCCAGAGGTGCCCACCCCTGACTCCAAAATGAGATGTGGAGTGAGCAATGGTGAAGCTTGACTCCCAGGTTTATTCCCAGATTTCTCAAATTATCTAGGACTTTAGACTCCCCCACCCCCGTTTCTACCCATTTTCAAGAATCACAGGAACTTCATTGGGAAACAGACTGCTCCTTCCCGGAAGCTGTCTACCCTTTAACAGGATTCTAGCTTGCATCGGCCAGTGAGTAAGGCAGGCGGCAGTATGTGGGGCTCTATCTCAGCACCTCCCACCCCTAAACAGGCATGCTCCCAGACCACCCAGTCACAAGCCAACCCTGCCCTCAAACAGAACGATGGTTCAGAGCTGCAGTTCTCTCTCAGCTCTTTGTGGAGTGGCAGTATTCTGAAACACACATTTTTGACTATAAGTCTCAAATGGTAATTCTGTAGTTTTAGGTTCAAGTATGGAAATACCCTTTTTCCTCCCAGTCCCACCTTCTTCACTCTGTATTCATGCCCTTAACTCCCTCCGATTATTCTAGGTCTCTCTTCCCTTTCACAGTAAGGAAAGAAGAGTGTAGTCTATATGCTCTGTTTTGCCTCTCCTCTCATTAACTCCAAACCTGCTAATTTTGACCTCACACCTCTTATTTCCAAGTTTCTTTTTTTTTTTTTTTCCTTCTTTGATTTCTTTTGGATCTGCCCACTTTTGTCTGTCCCTGCTGAATCACCTTGGTTCAGGCTACCACGTCATGCCTGACCTCACTCCTAACAATCTGTCCTCCACACCACAGCCAGGACTGCCACTCTAAACAGCAACTCTGAGCAGTCTTTTCTTTAAAATGCTTCTATAAATCTGTTGTCCCACAATCCCTAATCCTTAGCTGAGTCTGCAAATCCTTAGCTGGAATTCAAGGTCCTTCAAGTCTTTGTCCCTGTTTCTCCTCCAACTATGAATTTTAATTCTCCCTCCTCTCTCTACTATACCAATTTTTTTTTCTTTTTTTTCTTTTTTTTAACAGAGATTTTTGCTATAAGGCATGTGTGCTTGCTGGAAAGACAGAGAAAAAAAGAGAGACAGAAATGGAGAAACCACCCTCCAGGAGGGATGGCCGTGCCTCAATCGCTTCTATTTTATTCTCCTCTCAGGATTTTGGGCATGCACGCACATATGCCTGGCGTAAGTTTCAAGCCTCTGGGTTCCGGATTTAAACTACAGTTGGCCATGTGAGAATTCAGTGACATAAACATTACACCATCCGTTGGTCTACATACTGAATTTCTTAAAAATCCCTCAAAGATTTCATGCTTTCTTGTCCTCTAGGTTTTTGTCTGTACTTCATCTTCTAGCTCGTTCAACTCATTGTGACACCTCCAATAACTATTATTACATTTACTGTGAAACTCGGGAGTTGGCCTTCATCAGGAAGCCCTCCAGGACTGCCCTCAGGCTTCAGCGTGCCTGCTCTGTGCTTCCATGGAACTCATGCTTTCCTTACCCTTAGCGTGATCAACTGTTACAATCGTTAGCTGTGTGTTCATATCGGAACTGTTTAAAAGTAGAGACTGTCTAACTTGTTACCCCAAATGCAGCAGAGGCCTGAATAATATAATAATAAGTTGATAAGGGATGATGTATTAATCAATGATAATACAAATCCACATCACTTAGTACATTAGTTTGCAGCCACACTTCCATATTAGAATCACCTAGAAAGACTTAAAAGAAAAAAACAACATAAAAAACTAATGCAGGAAGGCCTAGTACTAACAACTGGATCAGAGTAGACCAGAGTATCTAGATAGTATGACTCAGCATCTGTATTTTTTTATGTGACTTTTTGGTCTTTGCTATAGGATGTGTGCGCTCGCCAAAAAGACAGAGAGAGACAGAGAGACAGAAAGCGAGAAATCAACCCCCAGGGGGGATGGCCACACTGCATTCCCTCTTCCATTCTCCTCTTGGGATCTTGGGTATGCACGCACCCACACTCGGCATGAGTTTAAGCCACCAGGTCTGGGACTCAAACCACAGTTGACTACATGGGAGTCCAGAGACATAGTCATTATGCCAACTGTGGGACCCTTTATGTTACTTTTTAAAAACTTTATTTCTCCCATCAGCAATTGAGGCAAAGAGAGGTGAGCATTCCCCCCAGGATCCTCATTGCTACAATCCACCCCAATGAGCGTCTGACATGCACAGGGGGGTCTCGGGGCACAAACCTCGGACCCTGCCATGTGGGTGAGCTTCAGAGACAGTTGTGTTAACACTGTGCCACTGTCTGGCTCCAGCATCTACATTTTTTAAAGCTCTCCAGTTGATTGTGAATTACAGTGAGAGTGGAAAACCCCTGATTTATAAAGGAATCCAGAGAAAGTAGCCCCTCTCCTCTCCAGTGGGGTCACTACACTGCACCCTTCTCACAGGGAGCTTGCATTTCTCCCTTCTCCTTTCCTCCCCAGCTCCGTGCTGCTACCAACCACTTCTCTCTGAAATTGCTGCTACCAACCACTTCTCTCTGAAATTGCTGCTACCAACCACTTCTCTCTGAAATTGCGAGACTGAGTCCTGATCAGTGCTTGGCCCTATAATTACCCCTCCTAAACTCCCCAAAGCTGCATAAATCCCTAGCTTTATGAAATGCCCTGGGACTCTGAGGAGCACAGCCCAGTAAAAGGGCCAGGCTGTGAGGGAACCTGAATGAACCCCTCAGCTCCTCACCCAGGGTGTCACATCCCTTGATGTAAAGGAGCTACAGGATTCCAGGTGACTCAGGGTGGAGCTGGGAGCTTGAGTGGATTGGTAGGGGATGGGTCCTGCCTCTTTCAGAAGATAAGCCCTGCTTGATCCCAGAGAAACACTTGCCTTGAGTGGGTCAAAGCCTAAAAAGCTCAAGGAGAGGGATGAGTGGAAGCCAGCCCTCAGGAAGGATCTATGACCTCTGATTATGTGTTTGATAAGCCTCCAGGGCTGTGTGTGTGTGTGTGTGGGGGGGAGTCCTGAGAGTCAAAGGGGCCCCAGTTCAAACCTTCATCAAAAAAAGGAGTGGAAAAGTAAAAAATGATTATGTTCACTATGGTGGCAACTATTTAAAAACAGGTATGCTATGGGAGGCAAGAAGCCAGAAATGGGTAGAAAAAGTTTCAAAGTGGTAAATTATGATGATTTCCTTTTTGAATGATTCTTGAATATCATTCCTACTTTATCTTGTCAGTAGCTAAAATAAGTACTGTATATTGAAAGAAAGGAAACCGGCAGTTGGGGATAAATGCAGGAACCTGAGTCTAGCTAAGAGGCAAGCCGGTGCTTACAAAAGCCAAAGGACTCTCTACACCACATGACTACTGAAGCAGCCCCTGGACCTGGAGGAGGGAGACCTTCCCACCAGAGAAGACCTGCCAGACCATGTGAAGGCTACTGGGCTTGTCCTCCCCAAGGCGATGTGGCACCCATCCGAATGGCACGTGGACAGACTTTGTGATTACAGGGTAAGCACCAAAAGCAGAACAAGCCCAGCTTCTGTCTTCCTAAATGACTATACGATTAGTTTCTCCTACACTTGAAGATACAAGATTACTGTTAGGGAGAATGGGTGTCGTTAGGTGAAAGTGGTATTGATTTGGGTTTAAAGAGGAAATGAATTTTCTTTTCTTTTCTTTCTTTTCTTTTTTTTTTTTTTTTAGAGAGAGAGAAAGAGATTTTTGTTATAGAGTGTATGTGCTCACTAGAGACAGAAAGCGAACCCCCCCCTCCCCCCACCCCCAGGAGAGATGGCCATTCCACAATCCTTTCTCCTTCATTCTCCTCTTGGGATTTTGGGTACACATGCACACACATTTGGCATGATTTTAAGCCGTCCAATCCAGGACTCAAACTGCAGTCAATTATGTGGGAGTCCAGCAATGTAACCAGTGTAATGGTTACATCTCCTGGTCCCATGGGAATGTTGAACTTCTAATGAAGAAAGAAATCTTACATCATATCTTTCTATAGAATTTCTTTATAAGAACACCTCATGATTTAGGAATTTTGTTCATTTATTTTCTCAATTTTTAGAACCCCTAGAAATTGAGGCTCGGGAACCAGCAGTTAGCGTAATGGCTATGTCGCTGGATTCCCACGTAGTCGACCGCGGTTCGTGTCCCGGACCCGGTGGCTTAAAACTCACGCCGGGCGCGTGTGCGTGCGTGCCCAAGATCCCGAGAGGAGAATGGAGGAGAAGGGATTGCGGCGTGACCATCCCCCCTGGGGGGTGATTTCTCGCTTTCTGTCTCTATGTCTCTCTCTGTCTGTCTGGCGAGCGCACGCGCCCTACAGTGAAAATCTCTCCAAAAAAAAAAAAAAAGAAATTGAGGCTCAAATGTTCAGTTACTTGTGACTGTGCCTTCTTTGTTGGTTAATATGAACCCTTCAGCCATTTTAAGAACTGAGACTTAGAAAGAATGGCCACTGGGCCAGGCAACGTTTAGCGGGTTACACAGATGCCGCAGTCACCATGCAGCAATGACACTAGCAGACATGCGACTTCGGGACAGAGTGCCTTGAAAAGGATGCTATCAGAGTCTGCATTCTGAACTTACCATAGTCTTTTTCACATACACTTCTTGTCCTCTGGACAATCCAAAATCTGCTATTTTGGCTACATAGTTCTCACCAACTAAAATGTTCCTGGCAGCCAGATCCCTGTGGATAAACTGGAAATTTAAAAAACATCATGTATTTTTGGCATTACTACTTGTTTTCACTTCACTGCATTAGCAAAAAACTCTAGGAGCAACAACTTTAGGAAATAGAGATGAAATGATAGTATGAAAAGCAGTTTTAAAAGTCACCAGAATCTTTGGACCAGCAGGTGGCATGGTGGTTAAAGCGTTGGATACTCCCAAGTGGCTGACCATGGTTTGAGTCCGGTACCTGGTGGCTTGCTTTCTCTCTCTCTCTCTCGCTCTCTCTCTCTCTCGCTCTCTCTCTCTCTCGCTCTCTCTCTCTCTCGTCAAATTAAAATAAATGAATGAATAAATAAAATTAAATAATTCTTTTTAAAAAAGCCACCAAAATTCAGTTCCCTTATAGTTCCTTTCCAAATTTTTCATTTAGTGGATTCTGACAAATGACCCCACATCTTGGAAGCAGCATTTCAAGACACAATAAAAAAAAAACACATCATTAAATTCCCATTTGCTATTGCATATTATTTGCTAAGACAGGTTAAGCACCTTTCCCTATATATATTATGAAATTTCCTGAATAACATTATCCATACTAGGCACTAATTTCCATATCAACAAATTTAATATTAACAAAGAGATTACAATTAGGGAAACTGTGAGAAGGAATTAACGAAGAGAGGTTGCCCCAAAAATGCACATACATGTCGAAGCCCTGACTCTAGAGAGGACTTCAGAGGGAAGATATCGAAAGCAAGGTCCTCAGAACACACCTGTTTCTGGCTCAAGTAGTCCATGCCCCGGGCCACATCTGCAGCAAAATGAAGAAGCTGCTGGGAGGACAGTGTGGAAGCAGTGCTGTTGGCAATGGCGAATGCCGGGTCAGTCTCGAGCACGCGGCTCTTGCGCAGGAAGTCCAGGAGGTTTCCGTGGGGAGCATACTCAATGGCCAGGTATAGGTAACCTGTGGAGAAAGGGAGAAAGATTGCTTTATCAATGTCCCTGCCCAGCTGTGGCATTTTTCAGAAGTGCTGTGGTCCCCGGGAATTGTTTATAAACTCCGTTATTGTTACCAACTCACAACACTGGGGACAGGAGAAAGGTAAATGACATCCTCCTGTAATACTTACAGGGGACCAGCCTTGAATTTATGGTTCAGCCATCTCCCACTCCCCTTTATAGTCCTACCAAATGTAGACCAACACAGAGGGCTTCCTGAAATGCTTCTACCTACTCAGAAATGATGAGAGATTGAAATCAAAGCATTCTCTTCCAAATCTTGGACACTACCCTCAAAACACTTTTATGCTTTATTTAATACAGAAGAAGAAGCTAATATGAGCCAGACATTTTATTCAAGTCTATCTTTGGTTTTTCCTGAAGTTACTTTTAAAAAATTATTAAATATCATTATTGGAAGGAGTTACAATAGGTCATTTTCTTTCCTGGCTTCCATTCCTCCCCTAAATTCATATTAAGTCAATATATTGATTATTGGCTTGCAGTCTACTTTTAGAGATTGCATTTTACTTAAAGAAGACATGACATTCAAACATTGACCATAAAAAATAGATAAAAGTTTCTAGGAAAAAATTATGGTCCATTGTCTTATTTTTATTCAAAACATGTTTTCATAAAAAGTAATTTACCTTGATAACAGCATAGATCTTTAGAGTCAGTGAAAAGTGATTTTATTGTTTTTTAAAGGAGAGTTGTTTGTGTGAACCATTTTTAAAATCTCAAATGAATTTGGATCTCAAAGATATTCTATAGTCATTAAAATTCTGGCCCCCCCCACAAAATCTAGTATTGAATCTTGTTCTACTATATGGAAAGATGGACCTTAATTTTGGTATGAATATGTTTTCTCATATCTTTACTGAATTATACATTTTAGGAGCTAAGAAGTATATACTAATGTGATGATAGAACAATATTTTAAGATATATATTTTTCTGTTGGTAGTTTTCTTTAACTTTCATTTACTGCTATCCCATGCTTATTACTGTTTTCAGGAAACAGCTCAAAAATAAATGTCATAACTTCGCTATTTAACCTAAGTGACATGCTTTGGCTTTCAGAATTACACCCTTATTGGATCATAGAATGATGTGTTGTTTGGAGCACCAGTATTTTTAGTTTAATAAATTGAGGAAATGGAAGTAGTTTATTCTATTGTTGGTATTTGTGCTGAAAAGTCAACAAGAGGTTATCAAGTTTATAAATAATTACTACATGGAGCTTTCTTCGTGGGAGCAAACTTTTCCATGAGAAATTAAGTTTAAGCATCGACTTAGAACTGTAAACCTATGTACTGCATTGTCAGAAAAGTCATGACACACTTTTGCATTAAAACAGAGAAAATACTTAACGACTGCCGAGGTTGAGGTATGCTGATAGATTTTATTGCTACCTAATCATTCACTACTAAATTCACACATTACAAAAGAAGTTGTTATGGTTTGAATGTGACCCACAAAAATTCATGTGATGAAATTTGGTTGTGATGGGATTAAGAGAGAAAAACGTTAATCTGACTATGGGATGAAAAAGTGGAGTCTTTGAGTGGTGGTTAAGGTCATCAAGGTAGGACCTGCATGATTAGTCCCAGTGGATTTGTAGGGAGAAGGAGTAAGACAGATACGTGGACATGGACACACAAGCTCTTGTCATGTGAGGCCCTATACTCAGCAGCAAGTCCCAAACAAGATGACCCTTGCTAGATGTGGCTCCTTGACCTTGGATCTCCAAAACAGTGAGCTAAATAAACATGTATTTTTTTATAAATCACCCACACCCACACTCTATTGTTCTGCGACAGAGAATGGACTAAAACAGAAACCCTCAGTAACTAATTGAATTCATAATGCAAATTTAACATTAAAAACACATGTGACATGTGGCATGTGGCAGAGACCAGCAGATGGTGTGATGGTTGCATAGTTCAAATCCTACATAGTCAACCTCAAGTCAGTCCCAGACCCTATGGCTTGAAACTCGTGCCAGGCACACATGCATGTGTGTGTGTGCCCACAATCCCAAGGGGAGAATAGATGATAAGGGATTGTGGCGTGGCCATTGCCTCAGGGAGATTTCTCACTTTCAGTCTCTCTGGCAAGTGCACAACCTACAGCAAAAATTTCTCTCTTAAAATAAAAAATAAATTAAACCACATGTGGCATAGAATAGTTGTAAAACTTCAATGTAATTACGTGAAAGTGCTTCAGATACAAACAAAGCACTGTCATCTGTAAGCTTAACATTATTATTTAATCTAAGTATTGTCAGTGCTTTCACATTGCAATAGATTATTGGGATTTATGGCTTTAACTTTCAGAATACTGATTCCTTAGGTTTTGAGGAAAAGTGAAAAGGCAGGCAATGAAGAAGAACCAATGCACTCTATTCTTTCTGCTGGTAAGGACTTCCCCGCTCCATTCTACTCTCATAGTAGCAGAAGCAGTAGTAGCAGCAGCAGCAGCGAAAAACTTTTACATAGCAGGGATGGGGTGTGTGGGAGCTGTGGATACTCCTGGGTAGTCATGACTGAACCTCATCAGAGGCCAAAGGATCCACCCTCACTGTCTACCTCTGAATAGATGGCACAATCTACAAATCAAACTAGACAGACATTTACATGGAAACTGCAACTTAAAAATGGGTAATCTTCTTGAGATTACTCTGTTTTCTAATTTCAATATAGAATGGGCCATTTAAAAAGAAAAAGAAAAAAAAACCATCTGGCAGGAAATACAGGAAGAAAATATCTTACCTCGATGTTCACATGCTCCCAGAAGGTTGATGATGTTTGGATGGTGTCCAAGTTTACAAAGAACCTCCAGCTCTCCTGCAAAGTCCCTGTGATCATCTTTGGAAGCATATTCTGGGAAGGAAATCAAGGGTTGTGATGACTCTTCATTACATCTTTGCAGAATCAACTGTCCCTTCTAGCTCCCCAAAACCTTCAGGTGCACTCCATCACCATCAGGCCTGGGAAAATGTACACAAGCCAAAGAGATTGCTCTAAGGAAGAGTTCTTCAACTTGGTGCTACCAACCTCCTGGGTAGTCATGACTGAACCTCATCAGAGGCCAAAGGATCCACCCTCACTGTCTACCTCTGAATAGATGGCACAATCTACAAATCAAACTAGACAGACATTTACATGGAAACTGCAACTTAAAAATGGGTAATCTTCTTGAGATTACTCTGTTTTCTAATTTCAATATAGAATGGGCCATTTAAAAAGAAAAAGAAAAAAAAAACCATCTGGCAGGAAATACAGGAAGAAAATATCTTACCTCGATGTTCACATGCTCCCAGAAGGTTGATGATGTTTGGATGGTGTCCAAGTTTACAAAGAACCTCCAGCTCTCCTGCAAAGTCCCTGTGATCATCTTTGGAAGCATATTCTGGGAAGGAAATCAAGGGTTGTGATGACTCTTCATTACATCTTTGCAGAATCAACTGTCCCTTCTAGCTCCCCAAAACCTTCAGGTGCACTCCATCACCATCAGGCCTGGGAAAATGTACACAAGCCAAAGAGATTGCTCTAAGGAAGAGTTCTTCAACTTGGTGCTACCAACTTCGGGTTGATCATTCTTTGTTATGGGCACTGTCCCAAGCACTGTAAGATGCTGAGGTGAAGTGCTGGCCTCAACCCACTAGACATTACTAGCCCAACCAAAAATGTATCTAGACATTGCCAAATGTACCCCAAGGGAAAAAATCACCCCAGATGATAACCACTACTTTAAAGTTTTACTGTTTAAGTTCTCAAATACTTAGGGACATAACTGGAGGAGATAGACCTGCCCCCATCTTTTAGACTCCAGGTCTTCGAGCTAAATCTACCTCCCAGAGACAAATAGCTGAAGAATAGAACCAAAGTTTCAGGTAAACATCACCAATAATGCATGTGCCTTATTTTATGTAATAATTTTATCTTCCTTTTCAACAAACCAGTCTTGCCAAACAAAATCCCAGTGACATTTTATATAAGTTGCTTAGTAGTCAGGAAACTGTAGTGAACCTGCCCCTGTTCTTTTTGTCCTGTCTCTGAGCTGGTACTTTGATTAGAAAAAGAACCAGCAGGCATCAGACAGAGGATGAGGCTAATAGTTAGCCAGCCATGAGTCAAAAACAGCATGCTCTTATTTTTAAAAATAACATGCTGATAGCCACACACATGCCTGAACATGCTTGCAAATTATGATAGTGTCTCATATAGGGTAACAGTACCCAGAAGACTGCCTGATAGGAAACTGCAGGTTGAGTGCCCTGTTTATATCTCAGAGGTCTCACTGTGGCTCTGGCTCTGAGGGTCAGTGCCTTGGGAACATTTAAAAAATGAAAAATGAAGATGTTTATAATGAAGTTGGGCCCTTATTTCAGTAATTACCCTCATCTGGATACATTCATTGCACCAGTTGCTGAAACATTCTGCTCTGGTGCCTTTTGAAGCTATTTTACTTTTCATGGGCTCATCTCAGATCCAAAAAAAACTACTTTATAAGGTTCAATACCCTCAACATTCTCTCCTCACTTCTCTCCAAAACTCCTTACTACTAAGTTAGCAAAACAGAAAAAGAATTTCTGGCTGTTAGGCAAGTTTTTTGTTTGTTTCTATTGTTCTGTTAATAATGGTTGTTGGAAAAGTCATGACTTTTGTTTTCTGTTTTTCTATGTAAAAATGCATCATGGCTTTTCCTACAACCCAATAGAAACATACAAATCAACTTAAGTGCCCGATGAATGGATAAAGTAAATATGGCATATATACACAGTGGAGTACAACTCAGCCATAAAAAACAGTAATGTGTCATTAGACATGAAATGAATGAACCTAGAAGATATAATGCTAACTGAAATAAGCCAGGACATAAAAGAAAACTACCACATGTCTCTCCTTAGCATATAGAGTATCCTTACTCTGGCAGAAGCTGAAGGACTCCATAACATAAAAGTAGAGACAGTAATTACAGATACTAGAAGCTGCATGGAGAGTGGGTAGGGGGCTTTGAGAGAATATTACTAACATTCACTGGGATGCATGTCAATGAGTGGGATAGGTTATGGAATAATGTAGCATGGCAGAGTAAAAAATGTCATCAACCATTCCCTCCTGCCTGAAAAAACAAGTAGAATAAATAGAGAATGTGCACAACATAATGTAATGTTAAACGCTGAAGATGATATTTGTTTATATCCTTGATTTGATTATGGCACTGTATATACGCTTTGAAAAAACATACTTTCCTTCACAAAGACGTCCAATATTTGTAAACCAGAAATTACAATAGAAGAAGAAAGTATCTCTAAGCACAGGTAATTTGCTTTGCTTCCTGATGCAGTCTTCTTAACAATGCAGAAAGCACGACTGGTTCAATAAGATTTAGAGTTAATTCTCCTCTTAGGTTCAATAGTGTGGTCAAAAAGGAACACCCTAGAGAACCCTTACAATGGAGCAGCAGATGAGTGGGTAATGACATTCTCTACGTCTGCACCACTTTTCAAGCATGTTTGCTGCCACATCATCAGTGCAGCTTTACAAGTCAAGTCACACACAAACTGCTGTTTTCCACACAAGAAAAGGTAACTAGATCATCCGAGAACTAGTTACTCTTCTTTATCAGAAGATGCTTATTTGCTTATTATCCCATCTTAGTAAATAAGAAGGTACCAAGTAGCCTTTAGATTAAAACAACTGAAAGAAATTTAGTACCTCTGACCCTAGAACAGTGGTTTTGAACTTTGAGTGTATAGAAAAACCACTTAAAAAGCCTGTTTAAGACAGATTCTCATATGCCATCTCAAAAATGTGGATGCAGTAAAACGGGGGATGGAAGATTCTCACCTGGATGCATTTCTGAAATGTTCCCAGGAATTTTGAAGCCGACAGCCTATGAAGGCTGATTCACAAAGGATAAAACCCATATGACCAGCATTGCAGGGGAATTAATTAGAAATGAAAACTCGCTGGCTCTCTGCAGACTTACTGAATCAGAAACAGGCAAGGGTCGCAACATTTGTTTTCAAAAAAACCTTCCAGGAGATTCTGATGCACGCTCAATTTTGAGAACCACAGTAAGAAACAATGAGAATCCCCAAAGTTAACAGTATATGACCAAAAAAATCTGTATTCTCACATCCCAAGGCATCAAGAAGATGGTGTTGGGAACCAGCAGTTAGCGTAATGGCTATGTCGCTGGACTCCCACGTAGTCGACCGCGGTTTGTGTCCCGGACCCGGTGACTTAAAACTCACGCCGGGCACGTGTGCGTGCGTGCCCAAGGTCCCGAGAGGAGAATGGAGGAGAAGGGATTGCGGCGTGACCATCCCCCCTGGGGGGTAATTTCTCGCTTTCTGTCTCTATGTTTCTCTCTGTCTGTCTGGCGAGCGCACGCGCCCTATAGTGAAAAAAAAAAAAACAAAAAACCTCTCCAAAAAAAAAAAAAAGAAGATGGTGTTTAAATGGCTCTTGCCTTTGTATTTACATGCTGACTTTATCACAGGTTCACCTCAGAGGAAACATAGCCTTCAGTTGTACAAAATAGCTATAGCTGACATCATGCCACTTTTGGTTTAAATTATGTTCAATAGAGGAAAGATTCAACAGGAAGCCAAGTTTTCTTCCCACCCTAGGGAAAGGTCTGGCCAACCACTGACCTTTCATTCTCTTGATGGCAGCGTCCATCCGTAACCCGTCCTTCTTGATGCGTGCCTTAAGAACCTGGCCAAAATTGCCCTCCCCAATCACATCTTGAAATTTGATGTCATTCCAATCAAGCACTGGATAAATGGTAGGATCTGGGTTGTTTTTGACCTTCCTGTTTAGGGCCAGAGTTCCTGAGTTGAACTGCACAGCTGGTTCTTCCCTCTAGAAAAACAATTTTTTCATAGTTTTGTGTCAAGATTGTTCATTATTCTAAGGGGGCATAGTACCTTCTCGTTTGTATCCTTGATGGATAAAAAAAAAAAACAGTTTATCTAATTCTAGAATGGAAATGGGTTTCCTGTCCCACATTCACTCTGATGAACTAGCCACCTATAGAGCTGCAAGAGCATCATTCTGGGGCTCAGTCAGTGAGCGTCTAGATTAGTAATGAGTGCAAAACGGGAGGGAGGAGAGAGTAATGGCAAGTCCGCCGCACAGTTACCATTGCTGACTCTGCTGTGGAATGAGCAGGTGTTCAGATCTGGTTTGGAAAATAACCTGAATATCCTAAACAAAGGTACTTCAAAAAGTTCATGGAGAAATGAAATCAAGTGTAAGTTTATTTTTGCTGTGAAAACATTTTTGAAATCCATGCATTTTTAAATAATATACAATTTCCATGAGCTTTTTGAAGATACCCCTTCCAGGGCAGTCATGGGATGTCCCCCAGTGAGAGCTTTCATAAGATCAATTTGGCCCTGGTCTATTCTCAGTTCACTCTCTGTCTCTTCCTCTCTCTCTTCCTTCCTCTCTCTCTCCTCCTGCTTCTTGTCCCAAAGCTTAATCTCTCAGACCTACTCTAGACAGGATGACCAATGCTTAGAGAAAAACCCAGCATGATGTTCCTTTTCTCCTGAATGCAGTGGCTACCAATGGCAGTGTGTCATGACACTGGTATCTTGACAAGCTCCTGCATCCCCAACCTCTTTCCAGCTCCTTCCTCTCTAGAGCTGAGACAGTTCTGGTGTGGGACAGAGTGTGAACGTGAAGGACCCCTGTCCTGAGAGAAAATCTGGGAACTCATGCATATGAAGGTGAACCTCATCTGAACTATGTCGTTGTCCTCAGTGGTTTATACACAGAATTGATGAAGCCAAGTACAAACTGCCTTTTAGTGTCTAAAACCAAAAACTAGAGGAATAGTCATGCTTTAGTGTACCAAAAGGACTTAAATGGGGTGCATATGGGTAAACTGACTTTTCAGGCTGGACTCCCACATGGCCAAGCATGGTCGAGTACTAGACTTGGCAGCTTGCTTTCTTACTTTCTCTCTCTCTCTCTCCAGTGAGTGCACATGCACTATGACAAAATTAAACAATAATTATAATAAAATTAAATAACTCTTTAAAAATAAAATGAGACAATACCAAGTGCCACGAACTCTGACTGTAGACTCAAAGGTACATAGAAATGGAACAGACACACATGGATATATAATTCTTATCTACCTATATGAGGAGTGATGGAAAATATTAGAATTAGGAAATAGTAACTAGAAATAAGAAAATGTGGAAGAAGTTATCTAGTACAATGCGTCCTTACCTATCACACTAAGGTCTGGTCACCCTCATGTCTCTCCTCTGACCAAAAATGTTCAGTTCATTCTGGTCAAGATTATTGTCCGCCACAACTTAACAATATGGCCATATATCACATTTTGATAGTGAGAAGAGGGTGGTTCTGTTTTAGGCCTCAGTTCCTGCATAATTATTAAGATCAACCTTTTCATTTTCAAAATTGTTCTCATTTAGCATACAGAACGATAGTGCTGGAAGTCTCAGTTACATGGACTATGCCAGGTGCACACACAAGCACCCAAGATCTTGACAAGCTGAGGACTAGGAAAAGGGAATCATAGTATGACAAGATCGTGTGGAGAATGTCCGTCTTTCTCTCTTCCTTTTTTTCCCCTTAGGTGCACACACACACACACATTCTCTGTCTCTCTGTCTCTCTCTCTAATGATATAAATAAACTTTTAAAACAAATTGTGGCCCATCCTCTGGCATAGTCACAGCCTCTGTAGCACACTGAGCTACAGAGCTAGAAGCCATGTGCTAATCACAGTTTGAGTCCCTTGGCCAGTTGCGTGAAACTATGTCCAGTGTGTGAGCACGTGACTAGCATCCTGGCAGGTTTGTGGAGAAAGGGGATCATCCTGTGACCAAGCCTTGGGAGGGTGCTTCCCTCCGCCTTTTTCAACATGCACATGTATTGTATCATAAATTTTTTAAAAAATATGGTATATATCTCCCATTTCATGATGAAAGTCAAAGAGATGATGAGACTTGTCTAGGAGAAAATATCTGCTTTACAAGTTGATTTTCTGATTGAGATGTGTGTGTGTGTGTGTGTGTGTGTGTGTGTGTATGTGTGTGTATATATACATATACATCGATTTTTTAAATTGCCAGAGAGCACATGGACCTGTCAGAGAGAAAGAGAGAGAGAAAAATACCTCCAGTGGGTCAATGGGTTGTAGTCATTTCACAATCCTTTCTCCTTTATTTTAATTAATTAATTAATTAAGAGATTTTTGCTATAGGGCACACACACTTACCAGAGAAACATAGGTACATAAAGCGAGAAAGCACCCTGAGAGGGTATGGCCACACTGTAATCCCTTCTCCTCCATTCTCCTCTTGGGAGTTTGGGTATACACGCACTTGCACCCAGTATGTTTTAAGCCACTGGGTCTGGACCTCAAACCACAGTAGACTATGTGGGAGTCCAGTGATGTAACCATTATGTCATCTGCTGGTCCCTTTCCTTCATTTCTCTATCCTGTCAGGATTTGGTGTACACATGCACATGTGCCTGACATGTTCTTCAAGCCAATGGAGCTGAAACTCAAACTGTAGTGGGCCGGGCTCCCCATGCGCAGAGCTTCACCCACTGTCCTGTATGCTGCCCCTTGGTCCACATCTTTAAAGTAAAGGTTCTGCTTATATTAGGGTTTCAGGAACATCGTGATGCATTTATCTACATTTTTCTATGAAAAAATGCATCATGACCTTCCCAACAACCCAATAAACAGACTTCCACTCATGAGCTAGTAGGAAGATGAGACATTACCACATTTTGGAAGGCTTGGGCCATTCTTCTTTGGACATTTGCCCTCTTCAGTTGCAGCATGATCAGAAAGGCCAACAACACCGTCAGGCAAGTCATTCCAGCAGAACCAAGGATGGCTATCAACAGCATCTTCCCGCCTCCAAGGTCTGTGGCTGCTGTGCAGAACAGAGATGAAGCAGCTGGGTTAGTTTAAGTAGAGAGACCAAGACCATTGTGGGAGTAGATGCAGAATAATGGGGATGTAACAGCAGCCCTATAAATGCCACCTAATTGCTATGCAACATTGGGCTATTCATTCATTTTCTAAAACTCAGTGGAGATGAATCTCACTTATGGGATTGTTATCTTTTAAAAAATATGTGTAAAAGCACTTTTAGATGGCGATAGGCAAATCATTCGTTATTATCATCTGTCCAATGTTTGTGCCAGTGTATAAGCCCAAGCAAATGAACATTGTTGAGTAACAGTGAGAATGAGTAACCAGAGGTGTGACTTGGAGAGACTGGCTTCACCTCCTTTCACCTCTAATTCCTCTACTTAGAAAAGCTTTAAAATGTTATGATGCTAAGAGTTTACTCTTGGGATATTTTGTTCTGTTTTGTTTCTCTTATTTTAAAGAAGCTGAGGGCTAGCCCCACAGCCTAGTGGTTAAAGGAACTATACATGGCCAATCCCTGGCAGCTTGAGGAACATTCCAGGCACATACGCATGCACGCACAAAATCCTGACAGGACAGAGAGTAAAGGAGAGGTGACTGTAGCATGACCATGCCTCATTGGAGGATGCTTTCTCTCTCTTTCTCTGTATTTCACAAGTTTACTTGCTCTCTGGCAATAAAGGAAAGAGAACAAGGAGATTAGGGGGAAAAGCCTCAAGATGAATCTGGTGAAGGAAGGAAGGAAGAAAAGAAAGCAGAGAAGTGGTAAAGTGGGGGAGAGGTGGAAGGAAGGAAGGAAGGAGAAAAAGGAAAAGAAAAAGAAAAACCCATTAAATTAGGGATCTGGTCAAAATATACTATTAAAGACTATGGTCTAATTCTTCTGCTTCTTTCCCTTATTTAAATTCAAACAGAAATTAAGCTCAGTATATTTTTATTAATAACAATATAGGCTTTGTCATGGAAGCACACACTGCTAAGACACTGTTCCATATGAGAAGCCTAGTTCAATTCCCAGTACAACCTAAAAGCTGGGCATGGAAGCACACACCTATGATCCCAGCAATTCAGGACACAGAGGCAGGTTGAGGCTGGCCTAGAGAAATAAGACATGGAGCTTGACCTCATCTTGTTAAAAGTATTCGTCTATGCTTACCTCTTTTTCCTTCTATTTCTATGCTCGTGTGCATTCAGGGATGTTTGAAAGTGTAAGGGGTTTTTTGGCTTGTTTTGTCTTGCTTTTTAACTTTCTCTTTGTACTTTATGCATAGGTTGAATTCAGGGCCTGTATTCATTTTATCAAGTCATCATAAAAATTATGCTTTTATTTAGAGTGTGTTTTGAAAATGATAGAAAGACACAGTTGGGTTTTTTTAGCCCTCTAGAAGAACAAAGAAGATTTTAGTGTTAAAAGATTTTTTTTTTGTAAAAATACTCTAGTCCAAATTATATATTTGTAAAAATTGCCTTTCTCTCTAAAGCCCCTCTATGTAGATTTCCTTGAACACATTGCAGAGTGCAGAGGGCTAGGAGATGCCATCTGCAAAACTTCAAAGGAAAGCCATTCCTACACTGTAGGCTGCCTACACCACGGCCTTTGTTCACATTCAACACCTTTAATCATCACAAACAGTGAGCATTGTGTGCTTGGAACTCTTTTTTTTTTTTTTTAAAGAATTATTTATTTATTTCCATTTGTTATTGTTATTTTTTCTTTATTTGACGAGAGAGAGAGAGAGAGAGAGAGAGAGAGAGAGAGAGAGAGAGAAGAAAGGGAAAGTGAGAAAGCAAGCCACCAGGTCCAGGACTTGAACCATGGTTGGCCATGTGGGAATCCAGCACCCTTATCCACCACACCACCTGCTGACCCCAGAACTCTTAAGGGCATCTCTATCCCTTCTCAAAGAGCTTACTCTCTCAGAGTAGGACCTGAATATGGAAACATAATAACCTGGATCAGAAAAGTAGCAGAAAACCTAGAATAGCACAATGTCACTCAAACTGAAAGAATGTTTGTTATGAGAAAGAAGGAAGTGTTATTGATCAATCACTGAGATTTTTTTCCTAGGTTGCTGGATACTGTTATTGATCTCTCACTGAGATTTTTTTTCCTAGGTTGCTGGATGGGGTATGCTCGTAGGCTAATTTATTCTAAGGTTTAATAAAAGAAAATGGATCTACAGGGATCTTTCCCAGGAGTATGTTAAGGACCTATCTAGAGACAGTGAAGTTTATTAAGATAAATGGAATATGTCATATGGCATATATATGGGGTAAATAGCTTAAGATAGTAGAGCTTCTCTGATGCTCTCCAGAAATAATCCTATGTAAACACCTGTGCATTCTACCAACCTGGGGATTCTGTGAGGGTCATCAGGTCATGAGAAAAGGTTGGGTTGCTTGACCCTATGTTGTTCTCTGCAAAAATGTCCACCTGATAAGCTGTTTCAGGCTCCAGGCCCTTCAGCTGATATTGAGTGATGGTGACATTCTTTATCTTCACATCAATGTGCTGGTCCTCATTCTTTCCCTTAACCTTGTAACGGATGATAATAGAAGAAATAGAATAGCCATCCAATATTGTCCAAGAAATTACAGCTGAGGAGTCTGTGATGTTAGAAATCTTGATATTTTCTGGTTGAGGAGGAAGAACTAGAAATTAAACAAAAACATTTCACTTAAGATATTCTACCATCTTTTAGATTATTATACTTTTGAGAGATGGTTCCTATCAACTCAAACTATGAAAGGTCAATAGGTGTTTTGTCAGGTGGTAATTCAGTATATATCATACAGGATAATCTCTGAATTTACAGACAAATCTTTTGTAATCTTTCAGACAAAATTTAAAAAAGGATAAAGGAATAAAAATATAATGAAGACAGCCTATAGAACTTATGGGATATCCTCAAGTGAACAAACCTTATGTGAATTCCAGAAGAAAAAGAAAAAAAATATAGAAACATAAAACGTATTTAATAGATAAGGCAGACAATTTCCCAATTATTAAATCAATATAAATGTCCAGATATAAGAAGCTTAAAGATTTTCAAATAGATTCAACCCAAAGTGGTCCTTACAGATGTGTTTTGTAGTTAAACTGTCAAAAGTCAATGACAGAAAATTTTAAAAGCAGCAAGAGACAGGCATCAAATTGTTTTCTAACTCTCACTCTTTCTCTCGCTCCATCTCTGGTAAATCAAGGAATTGTTTTCTCACTCTCACTCTTTCTCTCGCTCCATCTCTGGTCAAATTAAAATAAACAAATAAATTAATAAAGTTAAACAATTATTTTAAAAAATAACAAATGGGATTAAATAAATAAATGAAGACTGCAAAAGAGCAACAAAAGAAATTGTTTTTTTTAAAAAGATAAGCAAAATTGATAAGCCATTATATAGACTTATTAAGAAGAGATGTAGACTTATTATGAAGAGAGAGGATCCAAATAAAGATAGTCAGAAATTTTAAGAAGTCATGACAACAGAACTGACAGAAATACAACATATCATTAGAGGCTTTTTTTTTTTTAAAGATTTTTGCCATAGGGCACATGCATTCACCAGAGAGAGAGAGAGAGAGAGAGAGAGAGAAAATGAGACATCACCCCCTAGGGGAGATAGCTATGCTGTAGTCCCTTTCCCTCCATTCTCCTCCTGGGATTTTGGGTATACATGCATACACACCCAGCATGACTTTCAGGCTGCTGGGTCCAGGACTCAAATCACAGTTGGCCATGTGGGAGTCCAGCACCTTAACCACCTTGCCACCTGTTGTCCCAGAGACTGTTATTAACAACTATAAATCAATAAACTTGAAACCCTAGGGAAAATGGATAAATTCCTCAACACATACAGCTCACCACAACTGAACCAGGAAGAAATAGAACTGACCTGAAGCAATGAGGTTGAATCAATAACAAAAGGGGTTCCAATAAAGAGAATCACAGGCTTTTCTTCACAGCTGAATTTTACCAAACATTCATCCATCTACCACTCATCCATCCATCCATCCACCCATTTATTTATTTATTTATTTATTTATTTATATAGTTGCCAGAGAGTGTGTATCCTTACTGAGGTGGGGGTTAGGGGAGCACTCCCCAGCAGGGCATGGTCATGCTGCAATTTTTTCTCCTCCATTTCTCTATCTTATCAAGATTTTGGGACTGTACACACATGAACCTGGCATTTTTTTCAAGCTGCCAGGGCTGGGGATTCAAATCACAATTAGCAATATAAGATCTGATTTTCTTAACCACTAAACTACAAGGCCAGCCCTACCAAACTTTTAAAGGAGAACAAAGAGCAATTTTCCTCAAACATTTCCTAAAACTGAAATGAGAGGCAATTCTCCCAAACTCATTCTATAAGCTATTACCCTCATACCAAAACCAGATAAAGATATAACAACAAAAACTACAGGCCAATATCTCTGATGAACACAGATGTAAAAACCCTCAACAAAATACTAGCAAACTGACATATATGACAAACCCACAAATAATATCAAGTCAATAGGAAAAAGTTGAAAGCTTTTCTTCTCAGCACTGGAAGAAGACAAGGATGCCCACTCTTACTACTCTTATTAATTTAGTTTTGGAAGCTCTCGCCAGAGCAATTTTACAAGAAATAAAAAGCAGCCAAACTAGAAATGACAAAAAAAAAAAAAGAAAAGAAATGACAAAGTCATATTGTCTCCATTTGCAGCAGATGACACCTGACATGCTGTTATATAGAGAAAAATCTAAATACTTCTCAAAAAAAAAAAAACCCACCCACTTATAACTGATTAAACAGATTCAGTCAAGTTACAGAATACAAAATCAACATACAAGAGGATGGATGGTAGCACAGCAGTAAAATGTGATGCTCTGTAAGGCTGACTCACACAGGAAGATTCTGGGTTTGTGTCTGAAGCCCTACCTGAGTATACTGGGCAGCATGTGCCCATAATCCAGGGCCAGTTAAGAGTGAATGGATCATGACATCAAGACCTTGTTGTGGGTGTTATCCCTCTCTGCCTCTCTTGTTCGTGTAATAAGTTTATTTTCTTAATCAACCCACAAACGCCATTTCTCTATATCAATAATAAAATGGCTAAAACAAATAAAAAGCTATCCCACTTATAATAGCAACAAAAATAAAATGAAATACCTTGTAATAAATTTATGCAAGGAAGTGAAAGAACTCTACAATAAAAACTATAACAGTCAGGGAAACAGCAGTTAGTGAAATGGCTATGTTGCTGGACTCCCACGTAGTCAACAGCGGTTCACATCCCGGACCCGGTGGCTTAAAACTCATGCCGGGCGCGTGTGCGTGCGTGCCCAAGATCCCAAGAGGAGAATGGAGGAGAAGGGATTGCGGCGTGATCATCCCCCCTGGGGGTGATTTCTCGCTTTCTGTCTCTATGTCTCTGTCTGTCTGGCAAGCGCACATGCCCTATAGCAAAAACCTCTCCAAAAAAAAAAAAAAGAAGAAGAAAAACTCTAACAGTCGATGAAAAAATTGAAGAGAATGCAAAAAATGAAAAGATATACCATGTACATAGATAGAAGAATATTGCTAAAATGACCATACTACCCAAAGCAACATACAGCTTCAAGGCAAGCCCAGTTAAAAGATCAACAAATTCTTCACAGAAAGAGAAAAACAAATCTTAAATGAATACGGAACCAGAAAAGACCTTGAGTAGCCAAAGCAACTCAGCAAAAACGAACAAAGCAGGAAGCAACTACCTACCTGATTTCAAAACATACAACAAAGTGTTAAGTAACCAAAATAGAATATGGAGCAAAAAAGAACAAAGCAGGAAGCAAACTACCTACCTGATTTCAAAACACACAACAAAGTGTTAAGTAACCAAAATAGAATAGTACTGGCATAAAAAACAGACATACAGACCAGAATAAAGAGCCTAGAAATAAATCTATATAAAGATAGGAAACTGATTTTTGACAAAAGTGCAAAGAACATGTATTGGGCAAAGGATAGTCTCTTTAATAAAGAGTGCTAGGAAAACTGGATATCCACATGCAGAAGAATAAAACCAGACCTCTGTCTCTTACCATACACAAAAATCAACTCAAAATAATTAAACACCTTAATGCAAGATCCAAAAATATGAAACTACTAGAAGAAAACATAGGAGAAACACTTTAGGACATTTGTGGAGGCAAAAAGTTTATGAATAAGACCTCAGAAACACAGGTAACAAACACAAAAATGGAAAAATTAAACTAAATCAAATTAAAATGCTTCTGCACAACAAAGGAAATAATAATAAAAATGGAAAATACATCTGAAAACTATATATCTGACTACTGATTAATAACTAGAATATACAAGGAGCTCAAAAAACTCAATGGCAGGAACCAGCAGTTAGCATAATGACTATGTCACTGGACTCCCACGTAGTCGACCGCGGTTCGTGTCCCGGACCCGGTGGCTTAAAACTCATGCCAGGCGCATGTGCGTGCATGCCCAAGATCCCGAGAGGAGAATGGAGGAGAAGGGATTGTGGTGTGACCATCCCCCCTGGGGGGTGATTTCTCGCTTTCTGTCTCTATGTCTCTCTCTGTCTGTCTGGCGAGCGCACGTGCCCTATAGCAAAAACCTCTCCAAAATAAAAAAATAAACTCAATGACAATATTTAAAAATCCAATTTAAAAATAAGTAAATTATCTGAACAGATATTTTTTCAAAAGAAAAACATACAAATATCCAAAAAGCATTTGAAAAAATGTTCAGCATCATTAATCATCAGACATGCAAATCAAAACCAGAGTGAGATACCCTCTCACCCAAGTTAGAATGGATATTATCAAAAAGACAAAAAAAAATATATATATATATATATATACACAAATATATATGTGTGTATGTGTATATGTATATATATAACACGTATGTGTATGTGTATATGTATATATATACATGTATGTGTATATGTATATATATACACACATGTGTATATGTATATTTGTATATATGTGTGTATGTGTGTATAAGTATATACATAATAATAAATACTGGCAAGAATGTAGAGAAAAGGGAAGTCTTACACACTATTGGTGGGGATGTAAATTATTATAACCATTATGGAAAACAGTATTGAGGTTCCTAAAAAAACTACAAACAGAATTGTTATATGACCCAACAATTCCATGATTATATACCCAAAGGAAAATAAATCAATCTGTTGAAGAGATATCTCAACTCCTGTGTTTATTACAACACTATTTACAATACCCACAATATCAACCTAAGTTGTCCATCAACAGGTGAGTGGATATAGAAAATGGGTACATAATATACAATGTTTAACTGCAAGATTTGTTTCTTGCCAAGTTGTTTGACTTGCAAAATTAGTAGAGACCTGGGACGTAATGGCTATGTCACTGGACTTTCATGTAGTTAATCACAGTTCAGGTTCTGGACCTGGTGGCTTAAACTCAGGCCAGGCATGTGTGCATACGTGCCCAAGATCTCAAGAGGAGAAATGAAGGAGAAGAGATTGTGGCATGGCCATCCCCTGGGGGGATGATTTCTTGCTTTCTGTCTCTTTGTCTCTCACTGTCTCTCTCTGTCTTTCTGGCAAATGCACACACCCTATAGCAAAAAACTCTCCAAAATAAGCAAATAAATAAATAACATTAGTAGAGACCCATCTATAATTTTCTTTCTTTCTTTCTTTCTTTCTTTTTTTTTTTTTGAGACTTTTTCTATAGTGCACATGCACTCTCCAGAAAGAGAGAAACAGAGAGAGAATTTTTCTATAGGGCATATGCACTCTCCAGAAAGACAGAGAGAAACAGAGAGACAGAAAGCAAGAAATCACCCCCCAGGGAGATGGCTGCACTGCAATCCCTGGTCCTCCACTCTCCTCTTGGGATCTTGGGCATGCATGCACACACATTCAGCGTGAGTTTAAGCCACCGGGTCCTGGACTTGAACTCTGGTCGACCACATGGGAATCCAGTGATATAGCCATTACGCCAACTGCTGGTCCCAAGACCCATCTATAATTAATCAGCATCTATGTGGACAAAAAATAGATACATGACCATCCTTTAAAACCATCCTATAACTATTAGACAAGTTCCAAGAAATCGTATTCATGTTATTAATTTAATTAATAACTCCATACCAAAGAAAGAAAAAATTTTACCAAAGTCCTACCTGAACCGTTGAAAATCCATTTACATGAAGCATTTTTATATATTGCAAGTTATGAAAATGATTAAGTGTGTGTGTGAGAGCTAGTTAGCCTCCACTCACAAATAACTGCCTTTTACAATTTCTGAGAAACAGTCCTGAAGTGATGGTAGCCAAATTCAAACGGCAATAGTGAAATATCATTCAGGTGGGACTGGCAGAGGCAGATGTTACTTACTGTCACTAAGGGTCCAAGCCATGAGATCTTCACTCCACTCCCCCTGGGCCTTGGTGTTGACTCTGGCTCGGACTACATATTGCTCCCTAGGGTGCAAGTTGTTGAGTAGAACTGAAGTCAAGTTGCCAGGCACTTTTATATTCTGCTGATCACTTTTTATTTGCATAGACCTTCTCTCCACTTCAACATAAAAGTCATCTTCTGAGCTTGGAAAGATTGGTTGCCAGGTCAAATTTAGAGTGGTCTGACTTTTTGGTAGGAGACTGAGACCTTTTGGAGGAGGGAGCCCTAGGAGAAAACAGAAGGACAATTCCTTTTACATAGGGTAGAGTTAGTGACACCCTCAAAGGGCAGCTTTGAAGGATAATGTTCACTTCTAGAATAATATAAAATTTCACAGCCTGTTGAAGAAACACAAGCTAATAGCCATCTGATTTTTTTTTCTACGAAAATAGAAAACCTTTAAAATAATTCTGTGACATAGTTTGAGTAATTCTAGTACAACCCCATTGCAAAACAACTTGGGAATATGTTTCAGGAACCCTAAAAATGTCTAAAATCTTTGGCCCTCACATTGAACTATCAGGGATTTATCCTAAAAAAATAATCCAAAGGGAGAGAAAACACTATGTGGGTAAAGATGTCCATTACAGCACTATTTATAATGGTGAATAATTGGAAGAAATCTAAATCTCAAGATAGAGATATGCTTTAATTAACTTATTTAGCCACCTAATAGATTAAAATAGGTAACTAGGAAAAGTATGGAAGCTCAATAGAATATTTATAATAGAGAAAGAGCCCTGACTGCAAATTGTAAAAGTTGTATTTGCAGTTGTGAAGGATAGGAAGACAACTGATAAAAATGAAAACAGTGGATTTGCCAAGGTTGTGGGATTGTAAGGGAACGTTTAATGATTGTTAACATTGTGGGCAATACATTTTAAAGCAATTTCAGGGTTACTTCTCAGAAAGAATTTTAGACATCGCAGCAACTTTGTTGACAGGGCCAGCACTGCCTCTGCTCTGCCCACATCAAGGTGTCAGTTACAAGCACATGCTGCCTGTTATAATTATCCATAAAAACTAGGGTTGCCAAAGAGGTAGCTGAATGGAAACAATATTGGTTTTAAAATCAGAGAGATGGGAGTATGCCTCTTGAGTTTCACAGCCTTGGGCAAATTCATAACCTGTCCAAATTCACTTGTAAAATGGGATGAAAATACCCATTTTCCAGACTCAGGAAGAATAAATGAGGTGAATGGTATAAAATGCTTGTGCAAATGAATGTGAAGATGTTAGAAACCCTTCCTTCTTTCCTTATTATTACATGCCAATGGACAATGAGAGATTTGTGGGTTTTTTTTTCCAGTTAATAATAGTAAATTTTTATTTTTAATACATTTATTTTAAAATTCCAAATATAAAGTTATTTTAAAACATAGCTAGGGATGTTCTAATTCATATATTCTCAATGGGGACAAAATTGGTTCTTAAAGTATGAGAAAATTTTAGACCATTACAATAGTTACAGTGGTTTACAAAGAGTTGTAATACACACATAGATGTAGAGTAAATCTATGGCATTAAGTTTCGTGGAGGGAAGGCAGGATCTATAGAGACAAAAATGTCTTAACAGTTCCTTAATCAGTGATTTTTTTAAAAATAAGAAGTTGAAAAAACTTAAGAAACACTGTTCTAACTCTGGCTCAGAGATGAGAGGGTCTGTTTCTATCTGGAGATCAGTCTCACCAGACATTCTGAATGGTCTCAGAACTATCACTAGTGAGAGCCAACATTCAGGTATATATTTGCTTCACTTTAGGCCAAATGTCTTATTGGTTCTTTAACTTGCAAAATTAGAGAGATAATATCAACTCCCATTGCTAATCTCTAAAGTTTGAGTTACAAAATAAGCCAGGTAGCTTTTCAATGACAAAGAAGAACAGAGAGTTGATGCTTTGGAATACACATGTAAACTCCTAAACCTATGTTTTGTTACAAAGGATTAACTCAATAAATGGTCATTTCTCATTTTCCTTTCTGTTGAGAACAGGATTACCCTTCACCCCTCCCCATGTGCTGTCTTTCTGCACTATATTCAAGAACGTGTACTCTTTTTCCCTGTCTGATCTCTCTGGATTTCGCACCTCAATCAACACACATAAATGGTGCAACTGCCAGAGGAGTTACAACGCAAACATCAGCAAAATTCAAATGATGGGAAAAGAACCTTCAAGAATTCCATTCCCGCTCACCCCTGAGAACTACTTTGAAATATTCCAAGAGACCTCTACATGCATCCTGGCTGGACCATATCCTAAAAGCTGAAGACAACACAGTGTGTGTCTGTGAAGTGTTTTATGTTATGTTCCATAAATACTTTCCATGTGAGTCAGATTATGACCTTCCTCTTAATTCATCAACACTGACCTGAGAGAGAATAACTACCATTGGCCTTTTAGAAGCAACCTGATGACCTATCATGGGTTCCTTTGATTATGGTCATGGAGGTCCAATTAGATATAGTTGTTGGGTATATTTTTTGTGTTCCCACCTGGTGGAGTACCCAGGAAGTCATTTCTTATGCAATGCTTCTACATGTTTCAGTGTAGTTCTCGAGTCCTATTTGGTTCATTATGGATGCTGTGTCAGATAAAATATGGGTGGCGATAAAGAGAGGGTGTCTCTGCTAGGGGTGCACAATCCCTGAAAAAGAGCTAGATGTTCTTCCTAGTTTTCTAACTAAATCATTCCATATCTTTCTGTCTTTAATAAATGGACTAAAAAATAAGAAAATACGTGAATTTGGATAAGGAGATGGTACATTTGGGCTCCTAGGTAAAAAATAATAATAATAATCAGAGAAACACAAAGATGATGGAATCTGAAGATCCAGAGTAGTTATGCATAAGACACATCTCTATGGGCAAGTTATTAACCACTCTGAGACTTTAGTTTTTAGTCTCTAATATGAGAAAATTGTAATTCTTACCCTTCAAGTTAATACAAATCAAATATATGGGACCTTGAAATTATAAACACATTGACTAAAAGACAGTGAAAGATTACACAGTGAATAAACAAAAAAATCAGAAAGGAAATTTCACAAAGGGTCACACTGATGTTTCAAAAGAGGGTATCTGGGTAGCAGAAAGCTGGAAACCAGGTTAGCATGAAGACTACGAATTCAAGAATTTCTCAACACAATAGAAGGCCAACAGATACTGGATAGCAGTGACAAATCAAGAAATATTTCTATACATGTTATCTGGAACATGTGAACCCAAGACCAGCACTATCAAGCATCATTTGGGAACTTATTAGAATTCGCAATTTATTGATCTCCAGCCACACCCCAAACCTACTGAATGAGGAACTCTAGGGATGGGGATCAAGGGACAGCTCTAACAAACTCTCCCCATGATTGTGACACTAATGTTTGTGAACCATTGATTTAGAAACACAGAGGTAAATATTATAAGAAATAGTTTAAGGAGATAAAAGTTACTGCTTCTAGGAAGCAGGACTGGAAGGTGAAGGGGTGGAGCAGGGGAATGCTGTTCTTTAGATAAAAGCCTTTCATTCTATTTGATGTTCTAACTATGTGCATGAATAACTTTGAAATATCAGAAATTATTTTTAAAAATAAACAAACTGGGACGTCTGAAGTATATAGGTGGCAAGAGTCTGCCTGAGCCCTGAAGATGGAAACGGGAAGATGGTGGTAGAATGCAAGAGTCAAGGCTCAGCACAGTGGCTTCTAAGTAAATCCCAAGTCCTAAGGGATGTCCCTGCCTTCCTGAAGGTTCATCTGCTTCCTCTTCTGTCCCTGTGGACTGCTACAGACTCCCCTCCCCCAGGGAGGTAGACCAGGAATCCAGCCCGAATAAAGGAACAGCTTGGCTCAAAGTTGCTACCCTTCCTGTCACTTTCCCACCCATTCAAAAGCAAACTCCTTCCACCTCCATCTCCACCCACCCACTCACCAACCACCACCCTTCCTAGTCTTCCTTCCTTTTTCCCTTTCCTCCCCCTCCCACTTAGCTCATGAATAAATGCCTGTTGGCTTCAACTGACCGATTGAAGCAGTTGTGAACCGTCTCACAGGTCCAGGATGCCCTTCTCCACCCTCTCCACGGCGAACCAGCTGCACACAGAGCTCATATTCAGTTCGAGGCTCCAAATAGTTGAGTGTAACAATCTCACTTGTCACTGAGAAGAGGGAAAGTACAGGAAACTTCAGTTATCATTCTTCTACATCCTTTACCCTGGGTTGTTATAACAATGTAAACTGATCTTAGCTTTCTAAGAATACAAGTCAGTGAAACAGAGAAACAATTTTATCTTCAAGGCCTCATCATTCCTAATATGAGGAAAAGCAGGCTTTTTGAAAAAATATGTCCAGGTGACAATGCATACATTAATATGGGTATTTCTATGCCACATATACATTTCAGTTCTACTACTTTTGTCTTTTCATTTGTAGAATAAAACCTCAGAAATAATCTACTGTGTAGATTATCAAATTTAGGAGGAAAAACGTAGTTGAAATAACATAATTTCTACTGTTTTCACGTACATACACTGATTGCAATCAAGTTATTAAGAGAAAGACTCACCAAGGGTTTGCTGTGACCAGATAACTGATTTGTAATCATATCATTACAAGAGATTCTGAGTCCTTGAAAATAATTCCCATAAACAGGTGATCTATGCTTTTCTCCTTACCTATTTGCTTTAGTCAGCCCATCTCCAAGAATATCACAAAGATAAATTTTTGCCTTACTACAAAATTCCTAGTCAGTAAGAGAAGAATTGGGTTGTATTTAACTGTTCTTAGAATACTGTTTTTGGGGGATCAGCAGATGGCATAATGGTTTCATTGATGGACTCCCACAGAGTCGACCGTGGTTCAATTCCCAGACCAGGCAGCTTAAAACTCACGCCAGGTGCGTGTGCATGCATGCCCGTAATCCTGAGAGGAGAAAGGAGGAGAAGGGATTGTGGCATGGCCTTCCCTTCTAGGAGGTGCTTTCTTGCTTTCTGTCTTTCTGTCTCTCTCTATGTCTTCAGTAAGAACATGCATCCTATAGCAAAATCTCTCTCCCTCCAAAATAAAACATACTGCTTTTTGGCTGTCCACTTGTAGAAAAAGTTGGTAGATTATTGCACCATATAATAATAAAACACCTAGCCATTGATCTAGGAAATTACAATCCAGCAAATCAGCTCTATATTCCTAATATTATGAACTTTGGCTGTTTGAGTCTACAGTAGCACGTGAAGAACTCAATAATAATGCCATGACTTTACACAATGTACCCAGGTCACCTAGCATTAAGTCGCTATTTTTATGGTTTGTTTTTGTTTTTGTTTTTGTTTGTTAGCTTTCTCATTTATCTACATATAGTGGGTAGAGGGCTGGCTTTAGAAAATCTTAGGCATAGTAAGATGAATACATTGGTGAAGACATAGATGTTATCTACAAGCCTGATAGTAGTAAGTCTCCCTACAGAATGGCCAAATTAAAGCTAAATGGTCAATTGATGATGTCAGTTTTCATTTCCTTATTTTTTTTTTTTTTGGAGAGATTTTTGTTGTTGTTGTTGCTATAGGGCGTGTGTGCTCGCCAGACAGACAGAGAGAGACATAGAGACAGAAGTAGAAAAAGTTGGTAGATTATTGCACCATATAATAATAAAACACCTAGCCATTGATCTAGGAAATTACAATCCAGCAAATCAGCTCTATATTCCTAATATTATGAACTTTGGCTGTTTGAGTCTACAGTAGCACGTGAAGAACTCAATAATAATGCCATGACTTTACACAATGTACCCAGGTCACCTAGCATTAAGTCGCTATTTTTATGGTTTGTTTTTGTTTTTGTTTTTGTTTGTTAGCTTTCTCATTTATCTACATATAGTGGGTAGAGGGCTGGCTTTAGAAAATCTTAGGCATAGTAAGATGAATACATTGGTGAAGACATAGATGTTATCTACAAGCCTGATAGTAGTAAGTCTCCCTACAGAATGGCCAAATTAAAGCTAAATGGTCAATTGATGATGTCAGTTTTCATTTCCTTATTTTTTTTTTTTTTTTGGAGAGATTTTTGTTGTTGTTGTTGCTATAGGGCGTGTGTGCTCGCCAGACAGACAGAGAGAGACATAGAGACAGAAAGCGAGAAATCACCCTCCAGAGGGGATGGTCACGCTGCAATCCCTTCTCCTCCATTCTCCTCTCGGGATCTTGGGCATGCACGCACACGCGCCCAGCGTGAGTTTTAAGCCACCGGGTCCAGGACGCAAACCGCGGTCGACTATGTGGGAGTCTAGCGACATAGCCATTATGCTAACTGCTGGTTCCCCATTTCCTTATTTTTAAGATCAGTTTACATCATTATTAAACAAATAGAAGTGTAATGGGTGTTTCAAAATAAGTTGATTTTCATGAACTTTTGACATTTTGTCACATTTTATTGAATTATTTTTCTTCTTTCAGGCAGGTGAGGGGAGGTACATGGCTCTTTTTGCCCACACTCCCTTCTCCCACACCCCATTCCACTTTGCCACAATCCAAACTTTTCAGGTTCAAATTCTAAAAATCTTTGGGTGTTAGGATCCTGTAGGACAGAGCAAGACACAAGATGAGAATGAATTTTAAACATTCAATTCAGCAGCAACAGTCACTCCTGAGATTTAGGTAGATTAAGTCTCTTGACATTACAGCAGGCCCTGGACTTTCCTGTTACAATATCCATGGTATAAACAAGTATCTTTCACCATGACCAGGGAAAATAAAGTAACCAAAAAAGAGCTGGAGATCCAGAGAGACCTGGAAATAATGATATATACAGTAACCATGATGCAGGCTAGTTCTGGGTCTCAGTGTACCATGACTTCCAGAAAGTCCAGGGCCCCTGCATTCTCTCAATACTCTAAAATGGAAACTTTTACTACAATCACCACCTTATAGAAGATGGTTGAGGTAGAGAAGAGGAGATCTCTATGTGTGAAAAGATTTTCTGGTGCTGCACCCATAGCTGGGGCCTTTTCTGTTCTAATCTTACCTTGAATATGTCGCCAAGCCTCATAATGATTAACAGGTTTATATAGAAGCTTCTTGGATTTGATAGGCCCATCTCCAAAGTAAGGCTCAGAACTGATGTTGATGACAGCAAAGTTATGTCCAGTGTTGATCACATTTGGGGCATTCAGGGGCTCTGGAAGAACTAAATAAAATTTTAGTGATGAATGTAGTACTTCATCTTAGGGATTTGGTTCCCATTCTTCGGTGAGGGTAGAGGATGAGTGCTATACATTTCCAACAAAGTCCTCTTAGAGTTTCCGACTCAGGTTCACGGCAATCACCTACTCTCTGAGCCGTCCACTTGACTCTACCTCCTCCAGTCCATTATGTTTAATTAAGGTGCTTTCTTTTTTAAAAATTTGATTTAATTTTTATTTATTAGTAGTAGTAGTCATTGTAGTATTCAATTTGAGCAGAGAGAGACAGAGACAGAGAGAGGGAAAATAAGAAAGCAAGCTGCCAGGTCCAGGACTTGAACCACAATCAACCATGTGAGAGTCCAGTGCCTTAACCACCATGCCACCTGCCAGCCTCTCAAGGTGCTTTATTAAAATGTGAACACTCCTCACCTCAAGACCCTGCAATAGATTCTCACTACATTTTAGGATAAAATCTAAAATTCATCCCATGACCTGCCGGGCCTTGCACAACTGAGCCACTGCATGCCCTATAGCCTCCTCTTAGCCTTCCCAAACATCCTCCCACCTCACTGACTTTGAGTTAATCCAGCCAACACAGCATCAAGCTTCTTTCTGTCTTAGGTTGTTGGTGAATACTCTACCTTCCATTTTTCTCCCTGCTAACCCTACTGTCATTCTACTCTTAGCTCTGGTATAACTCCTTTTCAAAAGGCTATCCCAGGACCTCACTTAGGCCCAAATGTCATACACTTTCACAGAACCTTTACATTTCCTTCATTGTGACTTTCAGAGTTTAGTATTCATAGTAAATTTGTGTGATTATTTGATAATCTTTCCACTAGAACATGTGGTAGCTCTCTCTCCATTTCCTCTCCTCAATATACGTTCATTATTTCATAGTTCTAGATGTCAAAAGGTAGACATGGATCTCAGTGGGGGTAAAGTCAAGGTGTTTACAAGGCTGTGTTCCTTTCTGGAGGTTCTAGGGGAGAACCTGTGTCTTTGATCATTTCCGTTTCTAGAGACCTTAGCTCATTCCTGAACTCAAGGCCTCTCCTTCCACCTTTGGAGTCAACATTGTCAGGTATCTCTGCCCCTTTCTTCCACCATGGTCTCTCTTACTGGTCTAGTCAAAGAAGGTTCTCTGATTTTAAGAGCTCATGTACTTAAAGTGACTCCACTTGGTTATTCTGGAATAATCTCCCTCTCTGAAAGACCAGGTATACTCACTGGGAGTAACAGCACTCTCAAGGAGGTGAAAATTGGTCTGAGGGAATCAAAAACAAATTGTTAATATTAAATGGTTTGTAACTCTTCAAAAGGTCACAGTATATAAACAAACATACAAATATATGCATCTCTGATATCAAATGTTTATGGTGATGGGGGAAGTTTTGAAATAAAAATTTTAAGAGTCTCTTAGTGGGATTACAATCACAAAAAGGTTGCACAACACTACACTAGACTGTAAACTACATTAAGGCAAATATCATGTGGGTTTATTTACCGGTATCTATCAGATGCTGAATAAATGTTTTCCATTGAGTTTTGTAGCTCCATTAGCCCTGTCTCCCCAGAAATGCAAAACTTTTGTTTTTCTTCCCCAAGATTTGTTATGTAATACAAAACATTTCAGACTTCAGGGGACATTACAATGTTTAGTAATTTTACTTTTCCTCTCTTATCCCAAAATTTGACTCTCTACTCTTAGAAGTGAGCCTTAAGTCTTTGTTTCAATATCATCTTCTTAGGGAGCATTGACTACCCTCTTTAAGGTTATGGTCACCCTCTAGCCCTGCCCCAGCATTCTCTATACCCATTTCTACTTTAGTTTTCTCCATGGCACTCAGCATTTTAGCAAATTGTACATTTTCCTTATTTTCTCATTGCTTATTTCCTTATGGGAATGTAAGGGCCATAATGGGAGAGATTTCCCCCTCCTATGTTATTAACTACTATATTCCCAGTACCTAGAACCAAGACTGAAATATAATAACATTTGGTAAATTCTATTGACTAACTTAGTAAAGATTTAGAAAGTTATACAAAGTTAGGATAGAGAAATCAATAAGAAGTATAATCAAGCAGTACCCTATGTCTAGAGGTAGACCATGCCAGTGTTAGGTTAGGTAAGACTGGGTTCACATTTTATTTAGGTCAGAAAAGAGGGGACGTAGATACTTTTTAGTATTGCTAACTGGACTGGTGAGAAATGTACACATGTTGGAATATTCACTTTGCAAGCTAAGTGACGTGTGATTGAATGTATAAAAAAGTTGAAATAAAAAATTAAAGGAAATAAAAGAAAAGAGGGCACATCTGTGAGTAAATTTATTTAAGTCATGCTTCCCTAGTATGACCAAATAAGACCACCCCTATTAACTCAGCGAATGCATATTTTATTAGAGCTATTCATGTCAGTCTGTGATGCTTTTACAGTGGTAAAAGACTGTTGCAAAGCTTCCTATCAGTAATGTATTATTTACTTATTTTGCCTCTCACTTCTTTTAATTAAGACATTACATATATAGGGGCCGGCAAGTGGCATGGTGGTTAAAGGCGCTGGACTCCCACATGGCCGACCACGGTTCAAGTCTCGGAACTGGTGGCTTGCTTTCTCACTTCCTCTATCTCTCTCTCTCTCTCTGTCTCTCTCTTATCAAACTGGAAAATAATAATGATACTAATAATAAATAAAGTTAAAATAAAATAATTCTTTTTTTAAAAAGGCATAATATATATATTGTAAAATAAAACATTATTAAATGCATTTAGGTCAATGTACTTAACCTACGTCTACACCCATGTAACCTCCGCCCAGATTAAGATAGAATACATTTACAGACCCCCAGAAGGCACCCTAATGCCTCTTCCCACTCAATATCCTCCATCCAGAGGTAACTATATTCTAACTTCTGTCAACTGTGGGTCATGGCATATGTGTCTGTTTAACTTTAGTATACATTGCAAAGTTTCCCAAGGCGATGGTATGAACTGGTACAGTACTCTGGTAGTAAGCCTAAGATCTGTTTTTAAGTATAATTAAAGACTCTGATTAATTTTACGAGTGGCTATTTCACTTTATGGCTATCAGACCATATGAATAGCAAAGAGGCATCAGTGACTTAGAACTAGATATTCTTCTAAGAGAGGACTTTAAAAAGTTTTTGAGAAAATGCAACTGAAGTCCAAGTTTATTTTGGTACCTCCCCAAATTGAAACCCATCAATTTCATAATACACATTTTCTGTGAACTTTTATAAAGACAGCTTGCATGCAGTCATAACATTGAGTGCTGTATCTTCCAGTACAAAATAAAAATCAGAAGTAGTGGAATCTTCCAACAGATTGCTAACCAAGCGATGAAGTGGACCAAATGCAGATTGCCTCTGGTCGTCTTGCTTCTTCGACTGTAACACGGGAGATTCAGAAAGAAAAATGCTCTGGTGGAGTAAGTGCTAGGTTTAGAGACAGGAGACCCCCGGTTCCAAACTAAGATTTGCAGGCCTGACCACAGTGGTACAGGCCTGAGGGCACCTCTGTGTGTTGGCTGGAGTATACAGGAGACCCAGTTTCCTTTCTAGCCCAACCTAGATAGTTTGAACCTAGTGGCACATGCCTCTGGTTAGGCTGACTGGGAGGCTGGGGCAGGAGGATCACAACAAAGCTCTGTCAAAAAAAGCTATCTATTCCTCTACCTCCTTCCTGTCGCTCATAAAAATAAAAGTTAACTAAGTTTTGGTGCTAATCAGTTGTGTTACCTTACATAAGTTAACAAAATCCTCTAAATTTGTTTTTTCACTGGTAAAATAGAGATAAAATATCTATCATCCAGTATTCTTATAAAGATGAAATACAATGAAATATGTGATATACCTAGCCAAGTGTCCTTTCCTAGAATACCAGAGAGCTGCTAGGTGTTTCTGTCAAAATGAGTTCATGAGTAACTTCCAAATTTAAAAGTCTTTGTTATGGCTATGAATACCAGCCAAGTTAACTTGGGTTTACTTTATTTCTTCCCCTCAGATGTATGCATATCCCCTCAGACTAAAACTTTGAAACAATAATTCATAACAAGAATAGCCACAAAACTAAATATGCAAAAAATAACTCATGTTAATTATATTGTATAGTCTGGACTTCATATTACATAAGTAATTCTCAAAATAGAGACTCTCCAAATTATTCTTTATAATTACCAATAATGATGAATTACCAATAATGATAAAGTCACAATAATGATGCTCGACTTCTTATGTAATCATTATTAGATATGTTGTTTCAGACAAAATTGCATGTATTTTATATATTTAACAGATATTTACAACAACTCTAGGAGAGACATAAAATAAGCTTCACTTACAAATAAAGGAAGGCTCGAGGAATCAGCAATTAGCGTGATGGCTATGTCGCTGGACACCCATGTAGCCAACTGCGGTTCAAGGCTCGGACCTGGTGGCTTAACCTCACATCGGGCACGAGTGCTTGCGTACCCAAGATCCCAAGAGGAGAACAGAGGAGAAGGGATTGCAGTGTGGCCATCCCCCCCGGGGGGGTTGATTTCCCGCTTTCTGTCTCTTTGTCTCTCTCTGTCTTGGTAGGGCCCACCCCCTAAAAAAAAAAACCCTTCAAAAAAAAAAAAAAAAAAAAAAGAAAGGCTCGAAGATGTTAAATTCATTTGCTCAAGGCCATGTGCAAAATTATGAGCTGTTAGGGACAAAAATTAAATCCAAGGCTCTTTGACTGTAAATATTATACTCTTAAGCTTCCCATTCTATTTTTACGCATATAGTTTCAAAAGTCTTAATATTTTGGAAAATACCTCAAATGTGTTTTAGTGATCAGATAGCACTTCTGTCTATAAGCAGCCCCTTTCCTCAGCAGTACATAAACACAGTGCATCAAGTGCATTTTCCTCTGGTAAATGAAGCTTACCTTTAACAGAAATGTTGAAAGGCTTTTCCACCATTCCAGCCACTGTGTTCACACTGCAGACCCAAACTCCTGAGTCAGGGGGGAGGATCCGGTGGATGGTGAATATGGCTACTGAGAAATGATCCGTATGGTTAAAGTCTTTTGGCTGGAAAGGTCAAATACAAAAAAATAAAACTTCTAGGGAGGCATAAACACAAAGGGCCACAGTACTGACCCCATCTCATTGTTTAATAAGATGTTTTCTAGGAGAGATTAAGAAGTTAAATACAATGCTAATATAATTATTGGCTTATTTCCAAAGCTATTGTAGTAGTTCTGAAAGTTTATATTGGATTGATGCCCTCTCAGATCCTGCTGTGGTATTTATGTGTTTGGGAGTGTGGGGTAAACACTCACAAGCAAGGAGTCTAATTCCTTTTAAACTGTTCCTAGTAATATTTGTTTCTTTCCGGTCTAATACAGAGATAGCTTGGTGGGAGGACAAAGTGGCTTCATAAGTGTTTGAAGGGCTGTCAAATATAATATAGTAAGAAAAGCCAGGGGACCAATTCCTTATTTAACTTCATGCAATTATTCATAGATTTCACATCGGTAAAAAATGAGGACAGGTGATGGTAAGTCATTATGTACCAAGTAGTCTTTACTAGATGGTAGTCATTACTTCCATTAACTCATGAAAAAGCCAACAAGATTTTAGAAGCTATCAACTTTTTCTACCCAATTAATGTTATATTTTTAGGAAAATTAGGCACATTTGATTTGTGGACATTAGCAATAGTACATTCTATATATACTGCCCCCAAGAGGTCATTAGCATTGCCCTTCTGATCCAACTGATTTTCAGTCATGTTTGAGAGAAAAGTAAGATTCCAAATGCTTTAATTAAGAAAATCAACTTTCCGAGGTTCACTTGTAACCCAGAGAAATTTGGAGTGACTCCTGTCTCTGCTACATTTGGGATTGTTGGAAGAGAGAAAGGAACATGTTGGAAAGGTAGCTTAGTCTTTCCTAGCAAAAATGAACTGCTAAGCTTCCCTAATCAGTGGTGAGCAGGCAGTGAGGGCAAAGCAAAGGCTAGGGAGAAACCCAAGGAATGTATTCAGTCCTAAGTGATCTGGGGATCATAGTTTTTGAACTGGATATGTAGGGGACAGATTCAAGAGTCAGATGGTAGTTGCTGTTCCAAAGAGCATGATAGGAGTACACCAGTCATCAAAACTCAATGTCTTTGTAGTCCCGAATCTCCTGCTGATTCATGAGTGTTTCAATGCCTTTTTGTGACCACTGTGCCACCATACTCTTCCTAGATGAAGAGGAGTTGTAGGAATACTGTGAGGACAAAGCCTTGCTCAGGTTGACATGTACTCTTCCATACACAGCTGGAGATTTCTACAGGATAAGTTCTATCTTTGGTACTCAGCTCCATGAATTCCAGTTGTGGTGGCAAATTATCAGCCTTGCATGCAGCATTGCTCAGACTGAGGAAATCAGTGAGGCTGCAGTGATTCTGTTCAAACTTCCCAGAAATATGGCATTTTATCAAAACTAACAACACGCTGACCTAGAGGCTGTGGACCATGAAGGAAATGTAGCCTTTGGTGGGTGATTAATTTACTAAGAGCATCTCATGGTATCAGAAGGACAGATTAAGAAGGGTTGTACTACCACCCTGAAGGATAGCAGGTGAGCCTGTGCATGACAAGCCGAATCCCACATGGACAACCACAATTGGAGTCCCAGCCTCTCAGCTGGAAAAGCACATTGGGCATGTATCTGTGCATGCCCCAAATCCTGATGGGATAAAGAAATGGAGGAAAAGAGATTGTGGCATGATCATGCTCCATTAGGGGGTGTTTTCTCTCTCTTTGATGAGCACATGTACCCATCAGTAATAAAAAGAAAATTTAAAAAAGAAAGAATGACTCTTACATAGAGCACTGTTCCATCAGGCTTCACCAGTGTCATTTCTTCATTAGCAGGTAGCGGCCAACCAGAGGCTTTGCAGATGGGATTAAATTTACCACTGTTTACTTCTATGTGATCAGGCAAATCCTCTATCTTTGGTGTCATCCTTGGCATACCTGAATGAAGAAAACAACACTGTGAAATTTAATCTTTAACACAACAACAATGATAATAATAAAAATACTACTTTATCAAGTCATGTACTGGGCAGATTATTGCAAATATTTTAAATTTTTTATTATTATTTTATTTTATTCATTTGATCACTATACATAACTTAGCTAGTAAGTTGAATTTACCAACATGAATACACTTCACACCAGTTCAGCTGAGGATACAAAACGCATTATCAATAGATAATAATCTGTTTCTGTGTCATATAAATATCTTGTCTTTCTATTTTCCTCCTTAATTTCTTTCCTTACAATCTCCCCCTTATCCCACCCTCTTCCCACATTGTCTTCAGTATCTATAACCATTTTCAATGCTTCTATGTCCTCTAATCTTTCAGTTTCCACTGTAGAATGTAGACAGTCAGTATATGTTAAGTGGAGACATACAATGTTTCTCTTTCATAGTCTGGCTTGCTTTACTCAGCAGTGAATCTTCCATATTTGTCCACTTTCTATCTAATGTCAGTATTGTATTGTTTTATTATCGTATAACAAACTTGTGAAGAGAGCAGCAATAACTTATATGCTGTTCAGTGTTTGTAGTGTTGACAAGGCGGAGTCAAGGTAAACACATCAATATTGATATTTTATACTGATATCTTATTTCTCAAACTTAGAATAAAATAGATAAAGGGTACTGAGCAGGAAAGAGAGAGGTCCCATAATTTAAAAAGTCAGTCCTTGATATCTATAGAGTAGGATAGATTATGATTAGAAATTTTACCAAATGTATCAGCCCAAGCAGGTATTCGAATAAGAATTGAAAAGAGGCCAGCAGATAGCCTGGTGGTTATGGTGTTGTATTCACACATGGTTGACCATGGTTCTAGTCCCAGACCTGACAGCTGGAAAATCATGCTGGGTGCATATATGTACATACCCAAATTCCCAGGAGGGAATGGAAGAGAAGGGATGGTGGCATGACCATGCCTCCAGGGTAATGATTTTTCACTTTCCTTCTTACTGTCTCTGTCTCTCTCCATTGAGCACACATGCTCTATGACAAAAACTTTAAAACAAACAAAAAGAATTGAAACAGTGCTTTGACATTTTTAAAGCATTTCTTTCCTTGGCTCAGCCATGGTGGCATAGCTATAGTATGACACTTTGTAGTATGGACGCCACACGGATGATCAGGGTTGGGCTCCTGGATCGACTAGTACACTCTAGGTATACATGTCTGCCCTGGCTGATAGGAAGGACTGGAGAGAATCATAGCATGGAACTTTGCTGGGAGTGCTTCTGTCTGGGTTGCTCTCATTAAATTAATAAATATACTTTTTTTGTTTGTTTTTGTTTTTTGGTTTTGGTTTTTCTTTTATTTTACAGGTAGTAAGCTCCATATTGTACAAAGATGGCTATATCCAAGTAGATCCAAAATAACCTTGGATACATTAGAAACTGACACTCCTGCAATCAACTATACTAAATCTTACATAGAGTCCCTTTCTTGCCTTTTGCAGGTTGTTTATAAAGGTGAATTTTAAAATATTATTTTATTTTATACATTCAATCACTGTACATCACTATGGCTTGTAAAATAAATTTACCCAACATGAACCTATTTCCCACCAGTCCAACTGAAGATATATACATGTTACCATCAAAAGATGTTTCCTTCCTTCACTGAGTCCTTGTGTTTTCTGAAGTTCGATGGAGGTGAAGATGGATGTGCTGGTACAGAGTGAAATAGTAGAAAAGGAGCTGTTCTCTGAAAACCCATGGCCTAGGGAAACTGTGGCAAACCTGTCTTTGATTCTCCCAATCAGAAAGCACATCTTTTGCAGCGTGTGCATTAGAACAGGAAGGAAGGAATAAAGTATAAAATTCAAATCCTTAAACTTGTTAGTTGTTCATTTACAGTCCAACACCCTAGAAACATCTAGGCATTTCCTTTCCCTTCTAGCTATTCCCTGATTCTCACTCAGTAGCAAAGAAAGAAGAAAAAGTATAAAGATTTAGAGAAAGAAGAAAAAATATAAAGCTGAAAATCTTAAAACTTTTGAGGAAACAAGTGTGAGTATTCACTCCCCCAACACATTTTGATTTCAAAAACTAACAGAGAAAGAGTACAGCTGCATCATTGAGTATAGATTTTGTTGGATGTGTGTTTCTTTGTAGAACATTTATATGACTAAAAAAAATATGTTTAATTTTTTTCATTTCAAAAATAAATAAAAGTATGCATCTCTTAATTTTAAAAAGTACATTAAAAGGCAAGTGTTAGCAAACTTCTTCCTTAAGGAGAGAAAATATTTTCAGTTTTGTAAGCCATGTTCTCTGTTTAAATAAGCAATTCTGCCTTGTGGTACAAAGCAGCCATCGGAAATACATTGTAAATCTATGAGCATGGTTGTATTCCAATAAAATTTTCTTTATAATAATAGATTACTGGCAGCAAAAAGGAATGAAGTACTGATACATGCTACAACATAGAAAGTTCAAAAAACATGGTGAGTGAAAGAAGGTAGTCATGAAAAACCATATATTATATGATCCTATTACAGTATATAAATGTCAAAAATAGGCAAACATATAAAAATATACAGTCAATTAATGATTACCAGAGAAAATGAGAGTTATTGCTATCAGGAACAAGGTTTCTTTTGGTATCGTAAAACATTCTAAAACTAGATTATGGTGATGACCACACAACTCTGTAAATACATTAAAAAGCATTGAATTGTACATTTCAGAGGGGTGAACATTATGATATAAAGTTTTAACTCAATAAAGCTGTTCAAAAAATACTGTATCAGATTTGGTGAGTTAGTTTGCTGAACTCTGATTTAGGGTAATTTCTGAACAAGAGTTAAATAAAATTTTACTTTAGCATAATCTATTTGTTTCATTCTTTCTATTTCCTTTAAAAGATATTCATCCAAATTCCTTCAAAGTTGTTCTCTCTCTAATATACATTTCCAGGGGGAAAAAATGGTCCTAGGCAGTTACCACTGACATGCTACAAAGAGTACATAGTTCGTTTCTAGTGGGAAGGCAAATAAAGGTTAAATTAGGGTCCATAGAGAAGAATTGAAATGCTGTCCTTCAGAATTTAGGATAAATTCTTCCCAATTTCTGAATGTAAATAAAAGTAGTTTGAGTGTCTTGGGATGATAGGGGAAGAATTACACCAGCAAAGCTTGGTTCAGACATACTAAACATGGCACTGACTACAGTGTTACCTTGCTTTACCTTCTCTCTCACACTGGAGCCCTTGCCATCCTGGAGAGCAGAGACATCCCTTGAACCGATCGCACAACTCCCCATTGGTGCAACTGCACCTAAGCTTACAATCTGGCCCATAATACCCAGGGTGGCATGCTATAAACAAAGACATAAAAAAAAGCAGTGTTAATAAAGGGGAAGGGAGAAAATTAAGGTTGTAGATGGCTACTTTCATCTTTCTCTCCAAACCTGATTTATAATAAGATAGTATAATATATATAGATTACCAGGGTTGAGGAGTTCTGCTTTCAGCAGAGCTTAATAACCTCTTACTAATCCTGTCTTCTCATAGTTGGAGAAAGGAAAGTATCTTTAATAAATGGTGTTGGGAAAACTGAATAGCTATAAGCTGAAGAATAAAATTAAACCTTCACTTCACACCATATACCAAATTAACTCAAAATAGATTAAAGACTTAAATGTAAAATCTGAAATTTTAAAACTACTAGAAGAAAACAGTAAAAACGTTTATTGACATTGGTCTGGGCAATTATTTTGGGATATTACTCCAAAAGCACAGAGAACAAAAGTAAAAATATACAAATGAGACTGCATTAAACCAAAACTCTGCTCAGCAAAAGAAAAAACAGAATGAAGAGACAACCTATAGAATGGGATAAAATGTTTGCAAGTCATACATCTGATAAGGGGTTATATCAAAATATATAAGGAACTAAACTAAACAGCAAGAAAACAACCTGATTTTAAAATGGGCAATGAATCTGAATAGACATTTCTCAAAAGAAGATATGCAAATAGCCAAAAACTATATGAAAAAAATAGTTCAACATCATGAAGCGTTAGGGAAATGCAAACCAAAATTACAATGAGATAACACCTGACTCCTGTTAGAATGACTACTATTCAACCCTCTAGAGAGAGCTGTGCTGTCTAACATGGTGGCCACTGCCATGTATGGCTATTGAGCTCTTCAAATATGACAGTTCAAATTGATATTTCAAACAGTTAGTATGAAAAAAAGAATGTAAAGCACTTCATTAATACATTTTTTCTATTGTTCACATACTGAAGTGTTAAGTGTTGATATATTAGGTTAAATAACATGTTAAAATAACTTCATGTGTTTCTTTTTACTTTTTTAACATGGCAATTAGAATGTTTAAAGTTATATATGCATATGATTTATATGAGGAAACTTCAAAACATTCATAAAAAACTGAATTAAGGTATGAGTTTGTTTTGGTAACAAAAAATAAAATCCATGCATAGTTTTTTCATAGTACATATTTTCTATGAACTTTTGAAGACATCCTTATATTTCTGCTAAACTGCTCTACCTAGAACATAGGTACCAAGTTTTTTGGGACCTCATCATAGCTCCTATTGGTGTAGATAAGGAAAAAGCTGGTAAATACTGAAAAGACTTTGAGTTCTGGCTAAGTCACTACATTAATATCTGTCAGGGCAGGTTTGGCATTTTTGACTGCAGGTTAATGTTAAGCTAGTGTACAATGATAGATATGAAATGTATACTGGTGGATTTCAAACACATACCATTAAGCCTCATCAAATGGAAACGTATTTTAGAAAGGGCAGAGGTAATCTCTGAAAAGGTAAAGTTAGTATTGCTTTAATATGGCCCATAGTCAGTAAGATCTTAACTTCTTACACTTTCAAACCCCAAATCCTATCTGGATATGACCTAAAATTTCTGATTTCTTAGCCCACTGGGGAAAAATGTCTTCTATGGATAGCCCTCCTACTTAATGTGGTCTGAAAACCAATGGCATCAGAATCATCTGGGAGTCTGTTAGAAATGTAGACTCTCAAGCTCCAGTCCAGTTCTACCAAATCAGAATCTTATTTGAAAAAGATCCCCAAGTGATATGTAAGAAAATCATGTCCTGCAAGGTCTAGGGTCTTTCTGTGAAAGTATAATTCTTGGATAAAAACATCTATGATTCAAAACACTGTAGCCCAGCAATGGTTAATTAATTAAACAATCCAGATATATCCTACATTGTGATTTCCAGCAAACTGGGTCTCTCTCGTACACCAGCTATAACATTTTCCATTTAAGGATCTGATTGGTGCATACCTTCATTGCACTGCAGTCCTTTCCAGCCTGTGGCACAGGAACACCCATATGGGTCTGGGAGACAGAATACGTAAGACTTGCATCCCTCTGGTCCACTACACCTTTCTTTACAAGTTCTGCCAAATGTGTGCAGTTCACAAGCTTTAAGAGAAAAAGGGCCAATTCAGAGTCTAATATGTAACCCTTTGAAATACAAAATTCTTATTTTAAAGGACCTCTCCTAGACTAGTGAACATAGAAAAATTATCTAATCTCAGCTGCAGCACAGACAGGATGAATATGCCCTTATGGCCCATTTTATAGATAAGGAAACTGAGTGGATGTCATGGCCACCACTCAATTATGCAGACTGTGCACTGCACAAATGTAGGGGGATAAAATTCACATTATAGACATTATGGATTTGTGGGTTTATTATTTCCAGTGGTTGGCAACAAAGGCCTTTAAGAAAGGGCAATTTTTTCTCAATTACAGAAAGGAGCTAGGTGGCCTCACAGAGGCCAATTAGCTTCCATTCCCATCTGTGTCCAGATCTAAAATTCTAGATCCAGTGATTTTGGCTTTTAAATCCACAGCTTATTCATCAAGTACTCCCAGACTTACCCTTCTCACATGTTCTCCCCATAAACCCAGGAGGACAGATGCATTCTCCAGTATCTTCATGGCAGACACCATTGTTCTTACATGAAGTACAGAGACGGTTACATTCAGGTCCCCACATCTGAGCTTCACATCCTTGTGTTAAGGAAAACAAGGCTGCAGTGAGTAGAGCACCTTTTCTCAACAAATCTTAACTGAGCATCCACTCTGTGTCAGTCATTTTAGTGGATACTCATGAATGAAGATAAAATACAGTCTCTGCTCTCAAAACCAGTTGTCTAATAAGGGAGACAGACGTGTAAATGGGATACAATCATAGAAATTAATACTTAATCCTGTCTTGGGAATGGAAGATGGCATATAGAAAGGCTTCCCAGAGGAGGTGGTATGTAAACTAAATCTGCTAGATCACCTAAATACCAAAGAAAATAAAGTCAAAGAGTGTGTTTCAGGCAAAGATAAGGCACAAAAAGAGCATGGCATGTTCTGGGAGCTACAGATAGAATTAAGAGATTGGAGCAATGGTTTCCAAAGTGCAGTTCGAGATTAGTAGCATCCCCATTGGTTGGGAATCAGCCTCAGATCTCATCCACCACCACCTAGCGAATGAGAAACACTGGCCTTGGCCTATTAACACAAGTTTAACAAGCCCTCCAGGTGATTGTGATGTATGCTGGAGTTTGAGAACCTCTGGCCTAGAGTGTGTGGAAAGGGAATAAGGATAAAAGGGGAAGTAGGAGCTGGTAGCAGCAACCCATTTTACAGATGGAAAGAATATAAGTGAAATGGATATATAAAATTTAAAATACCAGGCAATTTTGAAAAATTTATGGAAAAATACAAATTTTGATGTAAAAGAAAAATTGAAATCCATGCAATTTTTTAAATAGTCATGTTTTCCAAGACTTTTAAAGACTCTTTGTACAAAGATGGTAAAAATCCTTCTAGATTTTAATTTTCTGACTACTTCTCTCTAATATGGTAATTTTAGATTACTAATTAGATCCAGGGATGCCTTCTAATATAAGGCAGAGGGATTAGAATTACCCTTTGTGGTCAGGAATTAAGTTTCATTTCTCATCTAAAAGGAATCAAAGTCTTTATCCCTGAATGTTAGTCTCACAGTAGTAAGTCTGGACCTGTGCCTATAGCTGATATAACCTTATAATTTCTTTGGCAAGGATTCTGGTTATCAGTATTGTCTCTAAAATAATCAGGAAGTCTGTCAACACAGACCATTTTTTATACTTCTCCACTTAATAGCTAAAACAACAAAATGTCTAAAAGCTAATATTTACATTTCTTGATACACAAGGAAGTCTTCAAAAAGCTCATGGAAAATGCATATTATGAAAAAACAATGCATGTATTTCAAAAAATTTTTTTGCATCAAATAAACAGACTCTAATTCCATCTTTCCATAAACTTTTTGAAGTCCCCTAGTATAAAGAGAAAAAGTCTCTGCACAGTTAGTGATTTCTTGAGAGCCAGACCACAGGTTATTTGCACATGCTGAAAACTAATTAACGGCAGACAATGTAGTTGAAAATAAGCTTCCTGTTGCATTTAACTAAGTTCTCTGGCCCTGTACCAACCTGTAGATCTAGCCCAGCTTTAATCCCAAGGAAGAGGAAAAAATTAAGTTCTAGAGTATACAGGGTGATCTATTGGGAATGGATAGTCAGAAAAAATGTTTATTGATAAGCAACAATTTGGCAATTAGGGATGTGATATTTTTTTCAGCAATTTTATGATTCTGTATTTTAAGAAATCATACATGCATGGCATACAAAGAAATTTAACACAGTCAAAAATCTGTCAGGGAACAAATTTATACTGAAAAGAAATTCTGTAAATATAACCAACGTGATTTTTTTTTGGAGAGATTTTTGTTACAGGGTGCATGTGCTTGCCAGAAAAACAGAGAGAGACAGACAGAAAACGAGAAATCACTCCCCAGGTGGGATGGCCACGCCACAATCCCTTCTCCTCCATTCTCCTCTTGGGATCTTGGACACGCATGCACAAGTGCCCGGCGTGAGTTCAAGTCACCGGGTCCGGGACACAAACTGCGGTTGACTACATGAGAGTCCAGTGACATAGCCATTATGCTAACTGCTGGTTCCACCAACATGATTTTTATACAAAATCTTTAAATACTGGCTATTTCTAGGCTTCAGTTCATACTGGACAGACACTTTATCTATAAAACAAAACAAAACAAAACAAAACAAAACAAAAAAACAAGAAATGCTTTCAGCTGGACCTTATTTCTCACTAAACACCAAAGAACTCATATTGGGAAATATATCCCTTTTTTTTCAACTTGTACACTATGGTAATATCTCTATTTTTTACATTTTAGTTTATCTTATACATTTAATCACTTAGCTTATACATTGAATTTATCCAACTGAACACACTTCACACCAGTTCAGTTGAGGATACAAAACACATTATCATCAACAGATAATAATCCATTTCTGTATCCCATAAATGTCTTGACTCTCTAGTTTTCCTTCTTAATTTCTTTCCTTACACCCTCCCCCTTCTCCCCACTTCTCCCCACATTGTCTCCAGTATCCACAACCATTTTCAACCCTTCTATATCTTTCAGCCTAATCTTTCAGTTTCCACCATAGAGTGAAGAAAATCAGTATATGTTAAGTAGAGACATACACTGTCTCTCTTTCACAACCTGGCTTGCTTCACTCAGCAGCAAATCTTCCATATTCATCCATTTTCTGTCAAATGCTAGGGTCTTGATTTTTATGGCCGAGTATTATAGAGTATGTGTGCCACAGTTTTTCAGTCCATTCATCTGTTCATAGTTGTTTGGGTTGATTGAAATATATTAAGTGGGATGATTGTGACCTAAATCAACATTTTCTTAGAAGTACTTTACAAATTTATTAGCAGTGCCTCTCAAATTATTTCATTAAAATATTCCTAGCAGCAAAGAGGAAGGAATGTGTAATCCTAGCAATCTGAAAAGAGACAATTTGGAGTTCAAAATGGTTTGAAGTCTTTTAATTTATCTTAAAAGTTTAGAAAAAATTTTTAAATTCTAGTCTATATTAAATCATGTTTCCTTTTACATTTTTTTAAAAAGTATTAACCTTTTATCACTGTGATATTATGAAATAAGAAATATATATTTGGTCTTTGCCCTGGTTCCTTAAATAGCTTTTTTTTTTTTTTTAATTAAGGTTTTTGCCTTAGGTATGGTATGTCTGCCAGAGAGACAGTGAGAGAGAAAGTTAAGATATCAGCTCCCAAGGGGGATGGCCACATCACAGTCTTTTCTCCTCCATTCATTCTCCTCTTGGAATTTTTGGCACACATACACAGAACCCCAGCATGATTTTCAAGTCACCAGGTCCATGATGTGAACCAAGGTTAGCCATGTGGGAGTTCAGCACCTTAACCACTATGCTACCTGCTACCCCCTAGCACAAAGCTTGTAAAACCCTGTTACCTCCAGAGTTAATAAGAGTGCCTTTTGTATGCTAATGATATGATTGGTGGCTAGGAATCTCAGAAAGTATAAGCATGGTACCTATCACCAGAAAGACCAAGGCATAATTAGAGGATTAGGACTTTCAACCCCACTCCCTAATCTCCAGGGTGTGGTTAAGTAGAGAAGGTTGAGTTAATCTTTAAATTATTGTGTTGTTTATTTGATAAAACCTCCATTAAACCCCAAATGGCAGGGTTCAGAGAGCTTCCAAATTCCTGAACACATAAATGTTCCTCGAGGGTAGAGCAACGGAGAGGACATGGAAGCTCTTCACCCACTTACCTTACCTTGCCCTATGCATCTCTTCCACTTGGTTGTTTATCTGAATCCTTTATGACATCCTCTATAATAAACCAGTAAATGTGTTTCCCTGGGTTCTTTGAGCTGTCCTAGCAAATTGTCAAGCCTGGGAAGGGAATCTGGGGAACCTCCAATTTTTAGCCAATCAGTCGAAAGCACAGGTCACAACCCAAGGCTTGCAACTGGCATCTGAAGTGGGGGAAGTCTTGTGGAACTGAAGCCTTAACCTGATGCTATGTCCAGGTAGGCAGGGTCAGTACTGAGTTAACTGTAGGATATCCAGCTCATGTAGTTGGAGAACTACTAGGTTTGTGGAGGGGAAAACCACAAAAAACTAGCAAACAAAAACCCTCACCTCTGGTGTAAGACGAGTTGTGTTAATAGAGTAGAAAAAACACTTAGTTTTTTCCCTATTTCAAATCACCACATATTAACATCCAATGTTTCTGATGTTCTAGAAAATGTATCTCACTTACCCAGAATCTGAGTAGACCTGGTACATAGTGTTGCATTATACTGAAGAGAAACTATCTACATGAAATAAATGCAAATTGCTTCCTTGCCACACATCTGTATATTTTATAACCATAGAGGGCACTTAGCATGAGGCATAAACTAGATAACCAAACTTTTTATATTTCTATTGTTATACTATCATGTCTATTTAATTACATAGTTACCTGCTCTGATAATTACCCAAGGAACAGGGATTTACCTTATTACCCTGTTCCTCAATGCCACCGTAATTCTTGACAGAATTATGATCAACATATTTTGTTGAATGAATAATAAAGGAATGGCATAGTAGCCTAAGTATTTATAGTTGAAGGCCTGAATATTTAATATCACAAATACCCTAGTTGGAAAAATTCAGGGCAAATTTTTTGTTCCCTATTGATCAAATTCCTGTAAAAGTTACAAGCAATGGTTACACTTCACTTTGATAGTCATAATGGGGAAAAGTGTTTTCTAGTGCTATCTCTTGCATTTTGCAAGTCTGTAAATAAAAATTACATTTGAGAATTAAGTGATCTGAAAAGTAAGGGATTTATAGGAGACTTAATGTTTAACCAGGTTAGACCTCCAAACCAGGAAGTCTAACTAATCTCCCTACAGTAGGCATCTTGAATGGGACTGCCCTGCTCACTGTGTTTCATTTTACAGAGATAATCCTTCTCTACAAACATGAGCTCATAGTGCCTGTAATTGAGATGTGGCTTCAAACTTGTTTACAGCTCATTGGTCTAGGCTGGTAGACATGTGATTGATACTAAGCCAATCTGAATTTTTATCCAGGAAATTTAAAATCTGGAAGTAAAATAAACATTTTGAAGATGAGTTATGTAATAGCAGTATCCTAGAGAGAAAGTTCAACCACCCCACACCCCCCAACCAGTATCACTGAGCCTAGATCTTCTCTGATACCTATCTTTTCTAGACCTTGCTGGTCAGCTTTTGGTTGACTTCCTAAGAGTCCTTAGCATTCTTCCCCAAATCCTTAGCTTTTGCTTAAGTAGCCAGAATCATTTCTGTTGCTTGCAACTAAAAATTCTAACAGCTACACCATCACAAATGATGGCCTCTCAGTCACTTACTCCGGACTATCAGCCTGGTGAAGGCTGAGGTGAAGAGGTTTCCTCCTATGTACCTGGCCGAGTACACTCCAGCATCCTGGGGCTGAGCATGAGGCAGGTGCACTTCTAAAATATCAGGTACTTCGTGCCGAGGCACTGAATGGATAAAGGAACCTGGCAAGAGAGAAAAATGCCAAACCATAGGTAGAACCTAGATAGGATTAAACGGCTGCACTTCTACTCACATTTGGTTTCCCAGGTACACGGTAGTCATTTCCTTACGCTTGCTATCCAACAACCTCACAATCGAATGAGATCACATTTTACATGGCTGGATTTGGGACTTCACTTATCACATTACAATGAGGATTTATTATATATACATGCACCATATATATTATATGTACATTAATATGTATAGACAAGTACAATTCGAATTTATACAAATACATAAGTTTATATGTGTGTGTTTTTATATAGTTTTTATATATGTGAATATCTACTTTGATTTACTTAAGCAATCAAACTCATTGTCTAAGAGGGCTTCTATCTTAGACAGAATATGGTAAGTTTTCATCATACAATCTTTACTTCAAATATCTAACTCAGAGACTACAACCAGATAATCATCTAATATATTCTTTGTTACATTATGTCTCATACCAAGGTCCTGAAAAGAAATAAAACACACACTCACCATTTTTGTAAATCACTGCATCTTCTTCTTTAATCAACACCTTTTTGAAAGATATGTTCACATTATCTCCCCTGTCCACAGTCATAGTTAAAGTAGCTGGTAGGAAGGAGGCTTTTAAAAGAGAGAGAAAACAAATACCATAAATGAGGTCACAACTTTTCTCCAGGAGCAACTGAACTTTGAGTTTCATAAAATAAGGGCTGATACTTGCCAAGAATCAGCATGTTTTTATCATGTAAAAAATATTGATGGCTAATGAAATACTTTTTATTTTAAATAACCAGAAGGTGTGAACAGTCACCAGAGAGAGACCAAGAAACAGAGACAGGAAGAAACTATCCCCACACACAATGTGGCCTAGTCCCACTGCCATCTCTCAATTCTGTCAGGATTTTAGGCATGCGTACATATATCTGGCATGTTTCAAAGCCATCAGGGCCAGGATTCCAACCATGATCAGCCATGTGAGATCCAGCTTTCTAACTATTAGCAATGAGGTCTCAGTTCATGTGTCTAGTGACTTTTAATCTTTCTTAAATTTATATATACTTTTAAGAATCTAATAAATAAAATGGTCATTTCCTCTGTAAAAATGTAAGTTTATGCACACAATATTCACATACACATGTTTTCCATGCAGCTGATTGGGGGGGTAAGTATTCTGTGTTGATTAGTATCTGTTGTCAAACTAATCCTGAGATTAACTATAAACTATAAGTCTCCATCCTTCTCCAAGTTTCCTCAGACCATTTGTCAAGCGGCTTGTTCCTCGATCCTTGGTCCTTTGTGTTATTGCTTTATTATTTTTGTTACTGTTATTGCTCTAAATAATTCCAATTGCTTTAGAATACTGCAAACGTTTTTCAAATGGAATGAGCTCAATGCTGCCCTTATTACTAATGGTGAACATACTGGCATACTGAAGAAGAATAAAGTTAAAGATGAAATCTAATATCTTGCCTTCTACCTTTCAATTGTGTATGTATGAACTGACATAGGACTAGAGAGCACTAGGAGAAAACTGGGGAAGTTATTTTATATTTGGCATAGAAAATCATAAGCCAGTTGATTGAAAACTTCCACTGATATATCAGACTTGAATACAACATTGCCTGATTCCATTGTTTGATTGGAGAAGTGTGACTAAAATTTTCTAATGTTCTTCCACTCACAATAGTTTCTGAATTGCTTTAAATTATATCACAATCTGCAGAGAATCACCCTCTGTGTAATAAGGGGGATTAACTTTAGGCTTTTAAAAATAAAGCCAAGGTTAAAAATAATCACCACTAAAAGAGGAGAAGCAATGTATAACTTTTCTCAATATGGAGGCAGAAGAGAATGGAAGTAAACAAAAGACAGAATAAAAAGGGAGGGAAAACGTCCAAAGAAAATCATGATATGGAAAAGAATGAAATGGCAGAAGCCATGCCAAAATGAGGGTCTTCAAAAAATTCATGGCAAATGTGTATAATAAGAAAACTATGTGTGAATTTCAACATTTTTTGCACCAAAAAAAACCCATATCTTAATTCAATTTTTAAAGAATTATTTAACTTTATTTATTTATTTATTTTAATTTTAAAAGAGAGGGACAGAGTGAGAGAGAGAGAGAGAGAAAGTGAGAAAGCAAGCTGCCAGGTCCGGGACTCAAACCTCAGTTGATCATGTGGGAGTTCAGCATCCCCAATCACAATACCACCTGCCAGCCCTCTTTAATTCAATTTTTTCTTCAAATTTTCTGAAGTCTCCTCATGTTTTTCAAGAGATAGAGGATCTCAGAATGAATTCAGGTCAGAAAAATCTCAGGTTTTAGAATTTTGATTCTTAAGTACATATACATAACCATGTGGTCTTTCATAGACTACATTAATAATGACAGATAAGACTGAGAATAAAGGGGTAGAAAATATATATCACACTAAAATTAACTAAAAGAAGCTGTATTGTAACATTTATATGGGTAAAAATTATTTAAAGCCAAAATTAACTTTTAGGAATAAAGATGGTCTTTGCCTGATGGAAAAAAAGAGCCATCAACCATCTAATAAAATCTTACTAGAAGATTTTTCTCACACATGAAAATTATATGCACTTGACAACAGAGCTTAAAAACACATGAAACAAAGCAGAATTAAAGAAAGATACTGACAAGTCTATAAGCATAGTGACATTTTTCAGAAACTGATGATTCAAACAGACTGAAAATTACTAAGGAAAAAAAAAACAGAAGCTTTGAATAACACGATGGAAGATCCGTTGAAAGCTCATTGAACTCTGTTCTTAGTTATCTGAATACGTGTGATTTTTCAAGCATATCGCCTATTAACTGTAAGCTATAATGACTAAATCTGCCATCCTTCTCCAATCTCTATCAAGTTCCCTCAAAGTAAAAAACAGTATGAATGGAATATTAGTTTCCTCCAAATGAAAGAAAAAAAAGAAGAACATTTGTCAAGTAACTTGTCCCTTGATCCTTTGTTGTTGGAATAACAAAGGATCGTCTCTGTGAATAACAAATTCCATGACCATAATTCCCCTGAATTAGAATAGCAAAACACCCTAGTTCAAATGTATGAACTGTACAGTTTGCCCAGGACCACAGACCTCATAGTAAATTAGCTGGTCGCTGTGCCCTCCTCCTCATCTGTGGATTGTGGACGAGTTGCTTGAGAGAGACCAAACTAGTGCTGTGTCACCACTGGCTTAGACACCTACCCTTGATGGCAGAAGATGCCTCTGAACAATGCCCAGAAGAACCCAGGCTTTTAGGTTTGTCTGCTTGTTTTCCTTGTCTGTGGACTATTGTTGCTGACAAAGGCACGGTACCCTGCCAGGTCTTCCCCACGTAGTCAGATATGTGAATGTCTTTGGTGCAGATAATGACCTAGGGCAAACTTAGAGGGAGCATGGCAGAGATTAAAGGACAGTGTGAGAGCCGAATCACAGTTCTGGGCTTGAATTTCCCCTCTGCCACTTACCAGACCTTTCTGCACAAGTTACGTCACCTCTGCGAATCTGTTTCCCCATGTATAATTCAGAAGTAGTAATATCTACCTTAAAAAGTTGTTAGGGATAGTAAATTTTGTAAGCTACATGTTGAGTTGCTTAGAAGAGGTCAGGGACCCCCAGTTAGAGTAATGGCTATGTCACTGGACTCCCATGTAGTTGACCGTGGTGCGAGTCCCAGACCTGGCGGCTTAAACTAATGCCAGGCACGTGTGCGTGCATGCCCAAGATCCTGAGAGGAGAATGGAGAAGGGATTGCAGTGTGGCCATCCCCCCTGGGGGGTGATTTCTCTCTTTCTGTCTTTCTGTCTCTCTGTCTCTCTCTGTCTCTGGCGAGCGCACGTGCCCTGTAGCAAAAACCTCTCCAAAAAAAGGAAAAAAAAAAAAAAAAAAAAAAAAAGAGGGCGGTATCCTTCCCAAATAGAAATAAACTGAAACCCTGCTATGCTGACCTTTGCAGCATGGACAGGAGAGGCAGCTTTCTTGATGGTACTGAATGGACCAGCCCCACAGGGAAGGCAGGCAGAGAAATGGTCAGTAAAAGGAGAGAACATGCAGGGGGCTTCTTCTCAACTGAGGTTCTGGTCAGTGAAAGGAGGGAACATGCAGGGGGCTTCTTCTCAACTGAGGTACTTCCTTTAGTCATCCTAGCCATCATAACATGTGCAGCTCTTGCTACGACATGCTCCTTGATGGCTCCTACGAGAACTTCTGACCATTTCACTCTGCTGTTCCAGTCTCTGTGGTTTGTTTATATTTTCTGTCCTTTTGTGTGAAGATTGTTTAGCTGACCGTGGGACTTCTCGCATTGTACTCAGAAGAGGAACTGAGATTCCCCAGTAGGCTCAGCTCCAATGTAACTTTTTCCCTCCAACTCTACAGCTCTTTATTATTTCAGACTTTGTGCCGTTTTAGCTCCTGTTTTCTTAGAGGAGCCGTCACATCAGAGTTCCACTGCACTAAAACAGGAGAATTGCACTTAATGTAGTTACCGCCTGTGTTGTCTCTAAGCTGAGTGTTCTCTGCTGAGTACTAAAGAAGGAGATCTAAGCTTCATGGGCTATGACAGGCTGCCTGATAACACAAGAGCCCGGCTTAAACTCTGTACACAGGTATTGATGTCTTGGACTTGACCGGATCATAAAAATAATAAACGCCTTTCAGTGGTGCCTACTATGGACTAAGCACTGCTCTAAACACTTTACATGAATTTAATGATCATAATATTCCTATGAATAGGTGCCATGATTATCCTAATTTTAAAAATGAGATCCTTAAAAGTATAGAGATGTTAAATAGCCTGTCCAAGATCATATAACAAGCACATGTAAAAGTCAGGATTTGAACCAGGGTACCTACTTCAGGAAGCACTCACAGAATAGGCAATGTTCACACTCAAAAAGCTTTAAAATCCAACCAACTCATTTTATAATGAGAGTTCTGAGGCCTAAAGAATGACTTCCTTAAATTGGTTTGGATGGGGCCAGTCCATGGCCTTATGGTTAAGGTGACTGGATCCCACATGACCAACCTGGCAGTTCAGACCTGGAGGCCTGGAAAACATGCCAGGCACATGTAGGTATATGTCCAAAATCCTGAAGAAAATAATGGAGAAATAGGAGAGAAGGGACTATAACATGACCATACCCACTGGGAATGCTTTCTTGCTTTCCTGTTCTCTCCCTGTCTCTCTCCAGTGAGCACACACATCCTCTAGAAAATTAGAAAGAAAAAGATCATTCGAATGGGCTCATTAATGAATAAAACTTAAGAGCATAATTCACTTCCTTAAGGGCTACAGAAAAGTAGAAAGTGGTAAAAGCTGCACAGATGTTTCTCGTGGATGAAGAAGGGCTAAGTTAAATTCAACGCTTTTTTCAGTTTAATGTTAGATAAGCACTAAAGGTACTACTGTAGAGATTATGTTTATTATTATTTTGCACAAATTTCACAACAGCCCTGTGAAGACTATATATCCAGTTTAACAATGCTGGAGACGGCATTAAGGATGACTATGTCCCTTATTCAAGGCCTCTCAACAGTGAATAAGTGTAAAAGTGGAGGTACAAACTCAAAGACCTCCATTATCATTCTACAACACC